ATATATATATATTTGTGTGTCATTTGCTTTCTGGTTAAAAATTACATGATCTGATATATGTTTTTTTTAATTTGACAGTCTTCATAGTTTCTTTCCTTAAGTATACAAATTAAGGTTACATTTCATTGACTGTATTAATTATGAGCCTATACATACTTATTACTTTCATATGATAGTAAATATTAGGGGAAACAAACATCACTTATATCCATATGTGAAGGACACTTTCAATTTTGCTCAGTAGCAACTGTTTGGATGACATACTCATATTTTAATTCAATGTAATAATTATCAAGGCTCATTTTGTCCCAGGTACTTTACCAGGCCCTACTTGGAATATGAAAGTTATTTTATTAAAAAAATAGTTCTTGCCTGCAGAGCTTGCCATTTAGTACTTACAGTAGAGTTTATTTCTTGAGACAGTTTCACAAACTGTATATTTCCTCCCTCTTTCATCGATCCTTGGGAATTCTGTCCTTAAAGGAGAGAGAGGAGCAGAAAAATTCTGCCTACAGATCCTTTCAAAAAAAAAGGGGGAAATGGATCCCTTACTTTTGAGAATCCTTATGTTGCCACAATCCAATGGTTAGTGATGTCTTGATTATCTCCAGATTTTAAAGGTAAAGAAATAGCATTGAATGCTCTGTTTCCATAATTGACGTTTCTGTTTTTATATTTAAAGAAATATTCTATAAAGTACAACCCAGGATATGTGTTGGCCAGTCGCCTTGGAGTGAGTGGATACCTTGTTTCAAGGTTTACAGGAAGTATTTTTATTGGAAGAGGATCTAGGAGAAAGTAAGTTTGTGTTAGAGAAATTTACTTAAAGTGACAGAAAAAATTAAATGATAAAGATAAAATAGTTACTATTTCAATATTTATTTTCTCTTATTAATTGCTCTGAATTTTCTTTAAAAATTATGCATAAATTCCTCTGATGGTGATCTTGCATCTAGATGGCACATGTTTTAGGTGGTTGGAAAGACAGTTCTTATTTTTAGCAGCCAACAAGTTGAACCTTGAAAAAAGGTATCAGAAAGTGTGTGTGAATCTCAATAATATATTTCCCTGCATTTTCTTATTTCATTCTCCTCTCTAATTACATAATCTATGTATATGCTTTGTTAACTTGGGTTTTAAAGCCTTTCCTCTAGTTTTTCAATTACTGCTACTTTGGAAATAGCTATAATAATTAAAATATAGAACAACAATCAAAACTGAACTTTTCTAAGAATTGAAAGCAAAACTTTTTATTCTTTGAACAAAAATTTAAAACTCGTGTGTGTGTGTGTGGTTTAAATTCAGCCCTCATGGAGACCATAAAGCAAATGTGGGTTTGAATCTCAAATTCAACAAAAAAAACGAGGAGGTACCTGGATATACTAAGAAAGTTGGAAGTGAATGGATGTATTCATCTGCAGCGGAACAACTTCTTGCAGAGTACTTAGAGAGGTAAGTGTCTAACAGGATCCTACCAGGCATCCAAAAATGTAGGAACATAGTAACTATTTTCCCTTGCTGAAACCTGTTTTAGAGGAAAGATGTTTCTTTAGTAAAATGTGACATGTGGTACATAATAAACTTAATTTTGTGTCACAGAGCGTTGTAGCCATTAGCTAAAGTTGAGTAGAAAAATACTGAACTTATATTATTTAAAATGAAAAGATATGATGAGAATTGGCCTCTGTTTAGTTAAAATTTTCCTTAACCTGCTATCATAAATTATTCACTACTCTGCATCTCTGTGTCAGTAGTAAGAGGATTGGTATGGATAAACAATACAGCTCTTGGCATAATGGATTTTCCTGAATCATAAAACGCCAGCCGGACAGTAGATTACTATCTTAGCATTACTGAATTTTATTACTGAAATGGTCTAAGAAATCAACAAGTCTCAACTCATTATAAAAACGAGAAAACTGAGTACCAAAGGTTAACTTAGTTACTCAATAACAAAGATTTATAGGAAGGATCTTTACTTCTGATTCACAATTGAGTGTTCTTTCCGTTGGTCCACTGGTTTCTAATCTTCTCATATTTGAGGATCCCTGTATTAGTTTGCTAGGGCTGCCGTATCAAAGTACCACAAACTAGGTGGTTTAAAACAACAGAAATTTATTGCTTACAGTTCTGAAGACCAGAAGTCCAAAATCAAGGTGTTGGCAGGGCCGTGCTTCCTCTGAAGGTGCTAGGGAAGGAACTGTTCCATACCTCTCTCCTATATTTTTGTAGCCTTATGTATTTGTTCCTTGGTGTCTTGCACATCCTTCATCATCACATGGTGTTCTCCCTATGCGTCTTCACATCGTCTTTCCTCCGTTTGTCTCTGTGTCCAAATTTCCCCTTTTTATAAGGAAAACCAATCATATTAGATTAGGGTCCATCCTAATGACCTCCTTTTACTTTGATTGCCTCTATAAAAACCCTATTTCCAAATAACGTCACATTATGAGGTACTAGCAGTTAGGGACTTCAATATATCTTTTTTGTGGGGGGACCACAATTCAATCCCATATTACCATGGGAAAATTTAGATTCTTTCTTTTGTTCACTTCCGTATTTCTTTAAAATGTTGTATTTAGACTACTTTTTCTTGATTTTTCTACTTTTCATATACATTGATTTCCTGGCCTGAAAGATGGAACTTGAGCTCTCCTCTCCTGCCCGCACTCCCTATTCTCTCACCTCCCTCTACACACGTACGTTTCCCTCTCACTATAGTGTTATCATGAGTTTTGATTATATCTGTATTTAAATTTGATTTAAATCTACTGTTAAAAAGTCCTGTGCCATTCCGATTCTGAATCTTTGTGTGTGATCTATTTTCATTTTCTGAAATCTTTTTAGAATCTTCCCATTACCAGTGCTTTTTAATAATGTGGTGATGTGTGTCTTAGTATGGATCTTTTTTCTTTCCTTTTGCTGTTCAGCTCTTTCAGACTAGAAATTGATACCCTTCCATTCTGAGAAACTTTTCATTTATTATTTTTTCGTAATTTCCTCCTCACCATTTTTTCTGTTGTCTTTTTTCTGGGACTCCTATTAGTTAGATGTTAGACCTTCTGGATTAATCCCCTTAATTTTCTTATCTCTTCTCATTTGTTTTCTATATTTTTATACTTCTACTCCATGGTAGATTTCTTCCACTCTTATTTTCTAACATTTTTTAAATTTCTATTTGATTTAATTATTTTTAATTTCTAAAGTGTGTCCTTATTCTCTGGCATTCCTTTTTTATAGCATCTTGTTTTATAATGAATGAATATCTTTTATTTCTCTGAATGTAGTAATTCTAGATTTTCTTCTGTTCTTGGTATTTTTTATTTTCTCCAAATTGCTTTTTTTTCTGTTTGATTTGATCTTTCCTTTCATGTTAAATATTTTTTTTTACTTGTCTGGTGGTTCTTTTGTGTCCAATTATATTTAAGAGTGAGGCTCCAAAAAACTGATTGGAAGTTTAGTGTGCTTTGGTGGAGCTAGTGGAGGGGACTTGGCTATTTCTGCGCAGGACCTTCAGATATCACTATGTGTATGTATATCTTTTCTCTTTGGCTGGCCAGTATTTCCAGAGAGGTATCCTCTAGCCTTTTCCTTGGAGGACAGATGTGGGGGACAAAACTGACTTTCAGTGTTCTGGAAATTAACCAGGGAAAAGGGGTCTAGTTGCGTGGTGGATACTGTGATACACCCCCCAGATCTCCCTTCAGGACCGAAGGACCTATTCCCTTGGGAGCAGGAATACTGCTGTTTGACAGCCCTCAACTGTGAGCCCTCTTCAGGAATTACCTGGCAGAAGAGAACCACCTCACCTAAAGTTATGTCACCTTCCCACAACAGCCACCGATGTAATACATGATCAATAAGGAGGTGTAAAGGCCCAGCCAAACTGATTGCCCCAGTTCAGGACAAGTCTAGTTTGAGATTTCTGTGGGACTGGCCAAGAAGTTCATTAAGAATAAATCACAGGGCCGGCCCCGTGGCTTAACGGTTAAGTGCGCACGCTCCGCTACTGGCGGCCCGGGTTTGGATCCCGGGCACGCACCAACGCACCGCTTCTCCGGCCATGCTGAGGCCGCGTCCCACATACAGCAACTAGAAGGATGTGCAACTATGACGTACAACTATCTACTGGGTCTTTGGGGGAAAAAAAAGGAGGAGGATTGGCAATAGATGTTAGCTCAGAGCTGGTCTTCCTCACCAAAAAAAGAGGAGGATTAACATGGATGTTAGCTCAGGGCTGATTTTCCTCAAAAAAAAAAAAAAAGAATAAATCACAACCCAGCTTCTCCCTGTGCCCAATTCTGCTTCCTTCCTTTCTTCCTCCCTTCCACAAGTGTTGCTTCTACGAGCCCTCGCTAATAAACTTCCTGCATGCGTATCTCCATCTCAGAGTCTGTGTCCTAAAGATGTTATACTTGCTAGCCTGCTTCCTAGTGACACATTACATGGTGGTTACACTTTCATTAATCCCCTGACTTCAGTATGGCACCTATCCTCTCCTCACATCCCACTTACCCACCCAACACCCCTTGTCTGGTATACCCAAGGCTAGAGCAGCCCCTGTTCAACCTTTCCAAAAGATAAACTACAGGTTTTATGCTGGGGCAGAAAGTGAGTAACCACGTGACTGGCTAACTGCTTGCTATACAGATTTTCAACTAAAAGCCTATTAAACCTCACCCAATACTACAGTGTTAAAATGTACCTGGAGGGGCTGGGCCAGTGGTGTTAAGTTCACGTGCTCTGCTTCAGTGGCCCAGGGTTCGCAGGTTCAAATCCCGGGCACGGACCTAGGCACTCCTCATCAAAGCCATGCTATGGCAGCGTCCCATATATAAAATAGAGGAAGATGGGTGCAGATGTTAGCTCAGGGCCAATCTTCCTCAGCAAAAAGAGGAAGATTGGCAACAGATGTTAGCTCATGGCCAATCACCCTCACCAAAAAAAAAAAAATGTTCCTGGAGCCCATAATTCCTGAGCTTTTGCAGACTTCTGCAGTTCAAATCAGCTTGCTTCTTGTTGCCGTCTCACAGCGGTGGCTCAAGGTGCAGCTTATTCCTCTTTGTCAAATTAGTTAACCCTTATCCATCTGGTTTCCAGCTTCTAAAATTTTGTTAACAGCTCATATGCTATGAGATTCTCTGCTTCTCTCTTGACCTGTCTTTCTAGGTCTATGCCCTTTTGTATACTTTACTGTTCTTCTAGTGGGTTGGGAAAGGAACAAAAATAAGCATGTGTTTAGTCTGCTATGTGTATTTGATAAAGTCCTGCACTATTCAGGAAACAATGGAGTTTTGAGGAATATCAAAAGAAACTTTTAATGTATTTTAACTTACTCTGTTGTGGAGTGCACCAGCTTTGTTGTGAAAATTAGAAAATGAACTTGTAGATATTATTTTTGTTCATTTATCACCTGTCATTATGATCTCAGAGGGACAGAGTCAGTAATTGAAGTTTATAAGTAATGGAAGTTCATTATAGTTTATTAATTGAGTCGTTTCTCCCTCAACTATAGAGTTTTTGGAGGGCCTATGAATACCTTCAAACCTTTTAGTCTCTATCCCTTACTAATACTCTGTATATAATAATCAGTCCTCGTATATTTTATATGTCCCCTTAGGATCCATAATTATTTGATAGGAAGTTTATGTGAAGTTAGCCATATATATTTTTTTAAAGCAATATTTTTGTTTGTTTGTTTGGCTAGAGCTCCAGAATTATTTATTTATATAGCCAAAAATAACCAAGAGGATGTGTTCTATGAAGATGACATTTGGCCTGGAGAAGATGAGAATGGGTAAGCAAAATTTGTTGTATTTATTGCCTCATAGTTCAACTTAGTGGTTCTAGTGAAAGTTATAGCAGCTAGTTTATCAAGAATTTATATTGCTTTTTGGGGGAGAGTTTTGTATTTGCTTTAAGATCTTAATATAATTTTTTATTTATATCAGTAAAGTACTTTTAAACTAATTTTTGTGTTTTTTTATTACTGAAAAATAACGTCTATATTTATATTAGATTTATAAATAGTCCCAATTAAGTGTAGTGATTAATTATTATACATTTAAGGTCTTTTATAATTCATAGCCCTCAGAAAGTTTATATCAGGCATTTTATATAAGCCCTCTGAAGGTTTTAATCAATGTGAAAAAATTATTATTTTTAATATAGTGCTGAGAAAGTTCAAGAAATTATTACGTGGCTAAAGGGACATCCTGTCAGTACTTTCTCTCGTTCTTCTTGTGATTTACAAATTTTGGATGCAGCTATTGTTGAGAAAATTGAAGAAGAAGTTGAAAAATGCAAGGTACTAATTTTCAATAACCAAGATTATTGATGAGATTTGAAGTTAAATGGACTATATGTTATTCTACAAATAATTAATTTGTGTTTCAACCAAATAAAACATATAGTCAGTGATTCTAATTTATGTCAAATTATCCTATAATTTAAAAAAATATTCCAGTCATTTCCAGTGTCCATTAGTAAGTTTATCTAAATAAATGTAAGTGCACTTCAAGATACAAAAGCCATAGCATTTAAAGTTTATGTCCTTGTAGTGTTTCTAATTTTGAGTTAATATTTTGTGAATCTAGTCAAAATAGAAAGTTCGTGATTGAGAATACAGTTAATTCCCTATTCCTTCCTATTCTAAGTTCTTTAAAGACACAGTTCATCTTTTTATAGAATATAAAAATTTTATTTAATTAACTTTTACAGAATCACTTCTCAAATGTACTTTTCCACTCACAAACTCATTCAGTTACTAAGTATTTTTGAAATCCCACTTCATCTATCCTATTTTTTTATGTCTTGATTTTAAAAAGCAATAAGGTTCTGTGTAGGCTTAACTGTTTTATCTAATTTGGTTCCCTGTCTTGATGCCATAAAAAATGGATTGATTATATTTCTTTTTTTAACTTTAAATTTTATTTTTCACACATTTGCCTTTTTATTAAAGTGAAGTTGCTTTATTAACACAGCACTCTCTTGTCTGAACTACTAGCAGAGTAAGTTAAGAACTGGGCTCTATGGGGCCGGCCCTGTGGCTTAGCAGTTAAGTGCGCGCGCTTCGCTGCTGGCGGCCCGGGTTCGGATCCTGGGCGTGCACCGACACACTGCTTCTCCAGCCATGCTGAGGCCACGTCCCACATACAGCAACTAGAAGGATGTGCAGCTATGACATACAACTATCTACTTTGGGGGGAAAAAAGTAAATAAATAAAATCTTTAAAAAAAAAAAAAAGAACTGGGCTCTGAAGTCAGGTCAACCTTAGGCAAAATAGTTGACCTTTCCATGCCTCCATTTCCTCATTGGTAAAATGAGAATAAAATAGTGCCTACCTCTCAGGGCCAAGAAGATTAACTGAGTTAATACATGTAAACTCCTTCTAATAATGCCTGCCTATTATTAAAGCCTAATAATGCTTAGCCATTATTATTATTATTTGAATTCTCTTATCACACACTCAAGAGCTATGAATATTGTCTGGAAAATCACCACTAGATGACTCTTTCTCTTTAGGGAAAAATATAAGCCTCAGAGCCAAGAGTTTGATTTTTTTGAAAGGTCACTGATATTCAGCTGAGGGTAGAAAACTTATGGTTCTTTTTAATTATCTTTCACTGTAAAGTAAAATCTATTTGTCTAGCATTGTTTTTGAAATAAGTTTTCCTCTTAACAAAAGTTTACAACTTTAAGCCCCCAAATTTTATTTTAACCCCTTTGGATGCAGAGCTTTCTAAAATGTTTTATACATTTCCACTTTATAAACAGAAGATACATATGCAAACTTGTAGTCTATTATTTTGATTACAGCATTTATTAAATCTGTGCATATAGATAAGATAGGAATTTTTTAAAAGACTGTTAATGTGTCAAGGAAGTGCAGTTATGAGTGATTTTCTTTTCCTTTTAGTGTTATAATGTTATTAGGGTAATAAAAGAAGGAGAAAAACTAAAAAATAAGCACAAAAGTTTGAACATAATTTAAACTTTTCTTTGTAATGCACAGTCATCATTAAAAGTATCAGTAGTTTTCTTATTGGAAGTGGTTCCCCAACTCAGTTAATTATCAAAATTACTGATGGAGCCAGGCCGACCCTGTGGCGTAGCAGTTAAGTGCGCGTGCTCCGCTGCTGGCGGCCCAGGTTCGGATCCTGGGTGCGCACTGACGCGCTGCTTGTCACGCCATGCTGAGGCCGCGTCCCATATAAAGTGGAGGAAGACAGGCACAGATGTTAGCCCAGGGCCGGTCTTCCTCAGCAAAAAGAGGAGGATTGGCATGGATGTTAGCTCAGGGCTGGTCTTCCTCACACACACACACAAAAAATTACTGATGGAGCTTTTTAAAAAACACACATTCTGGATTCTACCCCTAGAACAGTACTTCTCAAACTTGAATGTGCAAACAAATCCCTAGGGGATCTTGTTAAAATACAGATTCTGATTGAGTAGGTCTAGGATGAGGCTTGAGATTCTGCATTTCTAACAAGCTCCCAGGTGATCACATTTTGAGTAACCAGGCTCCAGAACTTCTCTTTTGGTAGCTGTGGTTTGGGGCCTATTGTGAAATTCCCTGATTTGTTAATTTGCCTAATGAATCAGGTTTGAGTGCCATATCCTTTAATCGATGCTATAATATAATAATGCCTAGGGATGTATTAGAGCATATGGGTTGTTTTTTCATATGCAATTCTCCAGGCACTGTTCTTGTGTCTGCTTTTTAAAATTACTTTAAATCTCTTCTCATATTCTTTCTTCTTCTTGCTACTGTCAGTGGGCACCAATTGTACTCTTTTAGTCCTTCTAGTCTGCTTTGGGCTGGAACATAGACACTTGGTCAGTAAGGCCTTCACTGTTCACCCTGTTTAAAATTGCAGTCTCTCCCCACACTGCTGAATCCCTTTACCTGCTTTATTTCCCTCTGTGCTTTTTACCTTCAAACATGTTATATATTTTCCTTATTTTGTTTCTTGTATGTCTCCCTCAACTAGAATAAAAAAAAACAGTTCACTGTTTTATCCCCAGCACCTAGATCAATACATAGCACATAAATGCAACTCAGTAAATATTTGTTGAAAGAGTAAATGAAATGTCTCTATAATAAAAAAAAATAGACTCTGTTTAAAGGCTTGAGCATTTTACAATGTATAAATCATAAACTCTATAATTTATGGCCTCTGTAGTTTGGGGCTGTTTTATGCCCTTTTGTACTTATTTCCATCAGCAGTGTTCTAAAGACAGGTGGCTCCCATGTAACTAAACTGCTGCCATTTTTCTTCTTAGGTGAGAATTCACTTTTTGAAAAAATTTAATGTGAATGGTAGTTATGGATTGTGATAGATATATTCTCACATTTTTGTTAGGTAGAACGGGTAATGTTATTTCCATCTTACAGATGGGAGGAAGCTGATGCTTAAGTGGGAGTTCACAGAATTAACAGCAAAGATAGGAGAAAGCTCTTCTTCCAGCATTTTTTAGATAATCAAAAAATTCAAACATCGAAGCAAATTTCAAGATAGATTCCAAAAGCAAGGACTTGTTAAATGAATGCCACCTTAATTTTTATAACTGGCCATAAAACCCACAGTATTGACAAAGGTCAATACTTTATACCTTTTTTTCCTTTAATATAAATTTTTGTTGACCATTGTATACAGTTCTTTTTTGGGTAAAAAAGCATTTGAATAGGATAGCATTTACATAAAGTTCAAAACAGACAAATCTAATCTTTTGTGTTAGTAGTAAGGTTACTTTTGGGAAGGGTAGTAACTGGGAGGGAATTCTTATGTTGTGCTTAGTAATGTTTTGTTTCTTGAACTGGGTGTGGTTATACATAGACATTCTCATACTATAAAAATTCATCAGACTGTATACTTATAATTTTGCATTTTTCTATATGTCTTATTCTTCAACAAAAAAAATTTAAAAACTTTTTAAGTGAGAATTTATTCATTTATTCCTCCTTGCTGCATCTAAAGAATGTCAACTATTCTTAAAATTAATCATTTTATTTGGCTTTTTAAAATTCAGACATGTTCAAGTACTGAATAATAATTTTATAATTTAATATTTTTAAAATATTTTTAAATTTTTCTTTCCTCAGCAAAGAAAGAATAATAAGAAGGTGCGAGTGACAGTAAAGCCCCATTTGCTATACAGAGTAAGTGTCCTATCAAAGAATTCAAAGTTATTGTTTTTTGTTTTTTTGTTTTTTTGTTTTTTTTTTTTGTGAGGAGGAGCAGCCCTGAGCTAACATCCGATGCCAATCCTCCCCTTTTTTCTTGAGGAAGACTGGCCCTGGGCTAACATCCGTGCCCATCCTCCTCTACTTTATATGGGACGCTGCCACAGCATGGCTTAGCAAGCTGTGCTTCGGTGCACGCCTGGGATCCGAACCTGGGAACCCCAGGCCGCCACAGTGGAGCGCGTGCACTTAACCGCTGCGCCACCTGCCCGGCCCCCAAAGTTGTTGTTTTTATTTTGAAATACAGAAGGAACAAAATCTTTTCAATATATTAGTAGCAAAACTTTTTAAACCAGAGTTAATAATAAAAATTAAAGCTTTCTTCTCTTCAGCCTTTAGAACAGCAACATGGAGTGGTTCCTGATCGGGATGCAGAATTTCGTCTCTTTGACCGTGTTGTTAATGTGAGAGAGAACTTTTCAGTTCCAGTTGGCCTTCGGGGCACCATCATAGGAATTAAAGGGGGTAATGTCTCAATACTTGACGTGTCTTCAGCTGCATCTATGTTGTAAAGTAAAACACAAATTTGTGTGTTAGATATCTAAGCAGAGAGTGGCTATAAGTCAGGAAAAAAACTAAATCTTTTTACGTTTTGGTTAATTTTTTTTTCAGTTTTAGTTTTCAGAGAAGAGTTCCCTTTTCTGTCTTGTGTAATCATCTGGGAAGTGATTTGAAAGGGGGAAGCTGAGGAAGTGCTGCTGAGAGTTTGGTAGCTTGTGTAGCACGTTGAAATTATACGATACTTGGGCAGGTATACATATGTTTTCAGGAAACCAAGAGAAAAGTTTCATCACTTCTCCTTAATTAGGCTTTCATCTAATCTTGCTCAGAGCTTTACCTTAATTGTCATTGTAATCTCTTGATTTCTGCTGAGAAATAAACCAACATGATATATGAGCTTATTTACAGTTAAAAGATTTGAAAATTAAATATGCATATTAGTTTGAATTTTATGAATACAATTAGATTATGTATATAAAACAGACCTATCAATCTGTTACTTAACGGTGTGCATGTAGTTAACACTACTGGACTGTACCCTTAAAAATGGTTAAAATGGTAAATTTTATGTTATGTATTTTTTACCAAAAAAAAAAAAAAAAAGAGAGTGGAAAGAAAAGGGAAGAAGCAGCTAAAGATCTAAATGTGCCTCAAAGGGATGCCTGGAGTGAGCAGCTTTGCAGCATAGATTCCAAAAGAAGTCAACCCAGCAGGAAGCAGCAAATCAGGTGCCCAGGGGTCAGGGTGCTGGCAGCGTTGTCCCTCCATGTCCCAGGCGCTCAGCCTTGGTCTCACTTTCCAGAAAGGAGGAAGAGCAGGCAGGCCATGAGTCCAAGAGAGCTGCTTATTTAGTGCCAGCAGTGTGCCAGGCACTTTTACATTTTGCATTTAACCCTCACAACCACCTGAGAGGTAAGTGTTATTTAATTTAACCTGAGAGGTTAAGAGACTCACCTGTGTTTACACAGATAAGTGGCAGAGCTGGGATTTGAACTCTTTCCCCTGATTCTTACCTAACTTTGAGCAGTGGTTCTCCACATTTTCCTGTTGGAGTCTTCCCTGCATATGTACCTCTAAAAGAGAATTTTTTTCCCTGATCTTTTTTGAATTTCTTGGATATATTTCTAGCTACTGGAAATGGAGAAAGGAGGATGGGCCAAGTATGGTAAGGCTCAGATGGGTGTAATAAAGCAAGCTTCCTACTGCTATCTGCTCAGCCTCATGCATGAGCTGTTCATATTTTGAGCTTATTGGATTGTACTCTAGCTTGTCCTGATAAGGCCTTAGGACTCCAATGACGTCGAAGTTTCCTTTCTTCTAACAGCTCCTAGCAGTAATAGTGACCACTTGGAATTTTGTCTTGAGAAGGATTTTAAAGGTGCATCTAAGGCTGAGTGGAAAAGAGCTCTGTTGTTGATTAACCATGTCTGCCATGGACACAGACTAGAAAGGGGCATATTTGGCATTACTGCCCTCAGCTGAGACCTCATCTCCATAGTCATCTCCACTAAGGAGGTGAACAGTACTCTTGTCAATAATCTTTTGAGGAAGTGGCCCCTCCCTGAGACGGGGAATGAGAACCTAGAAAGTGGGCCTTAAGCCTTCAGAGGAGAAACTCCTGCCTCTCATTGAGCCTCACTTTCTTGGGTTTAGATTTTAGGTAAAAATGTCAGGTTGAAAGGTCTAGCTGGATGGTGGAGAATGGGTAAGCTCTGCAAACCTGATTTCAACTGGCAGTGAGAGCCTCAGGATGGGGGAGATATCCCCGGACCCTACCAGGGGCTAGCATAGTATCAGATACTGTGTTAGTCAAGGTTCTCCAGAGAAACAGAACCAATAGAATGGAAAGAGGATGGAGAGTAAGAGAGAGAGTCAATTCTGAAGTCATGTCATCAACTTTATTATTAATTTGGACTTAGAATTCAAAACTTTATTATAGCTAATTATTTCACTTTACCTTGGTGTTTTTGGTAAATTTAATGTCTCCAGATGTATCTCATCACCCTCTCTACCAAATTTATTCTTCTCTGCTTCTATCTGAGTATTGCATCACTGCCTTTCCCATGTGTCTTGTGTCTCAGTTATGACATCCATAATCTACCAAGTCATCTCAGCCAGAACCTTGGAGTCATCTTTAGCATCTCCATCCTTTTTATCTACACAGGTCACAAACTCCTGTCAATTCTGTCTAATGGGCCGGCCCCGTGGCTTAGTGGTTGAGTGCTCGCGTTCTGCTGCTGGCGGCCTGGGTTCGGATCCCGGGCGCGCACCGATGCACTGCTTGTCCGGCCATGCTGAGGCCGCGTCCCACATACAGCAACTAGAATGATGTGCAGCTATGACATACAACTATCTACTGGGGCTTTGGGGGAAAAATAAATAAATAAATAAATAAAATTTTTTAAAAAATTAATAAACTTTAAAAAAAAAATTCTATCTAATGATATATCTGTTCTCTCCGTTCTATTTCTCTCATTACTGCCGTGTTTTCAGATCTTCGTTGTCTTTTGTCTGTCTTATTGCAAGACCCTTTAAACTGCAAATTCCAAAGTTCTCTCTTCTATTAACTCTCTTGTTATGAATAATTTCAAACATATACAAAAGCAGTGAGAAAAGTATAATTAATCCCCACAGCATTTAATTTAAAATATTATTTTGCTTTAGTTAATACCAGTAAGGTAATCTGTGAGCTTATTTACTTTTCTTTTACTGTCTGTATTCCCCTACACCATTTTTTGATAGTTGTAATGCTTCTTACACTCCAAAAACTTATATGCTTATTTTTCATCATATGAGTTTTTAATCTCTCCCTCTCTTTTTTTTAACAGCTAATAGAGAAGCTGATGTACTATTTGAAGTATTATTTGATGAAGAATTTCCTGGAGGCTTAACAATAAGGTTTGTATTTCCAGATGATAATTATACTTTATGAATATGTCCATGTGGCCATTTGACTTTACGTTACTTGTTTATTTGTCCACCATTTGAGTTCCTATTATGTGCAAGACATCATACTTGCTACTAGCGATGTAACAGTGAATGAGACAGACATGCTTTCTACTCTCGTGGAAATTTCATTTTAGTGGGGGAGATAGTTAAGTAACTGATTACAGTATTAATTATTTAATTAAAGTGTGACAAGTGCTGGGAAGGAGAAGTTCAGGTTTCTATAGGAGTATAACCTGTCCTGCAAGTTCCGGAAAGACTTCCTTGAGGAAGTGATATTTAAGATGGGACTTGAAGAATGAATAATAATTAACTAGGGGAAGAGGGAGGAAGAGTGACGTGTGGTCAGGAAGAGGGAATAGCATATGCAACAAAGGACGTTTTCTTTTTTTTTTTTTTAATAATTTTATTTATTTATTTATATTTTCCCCCAAAGCCCCAGTAGATAGTTGTATGTCATAGCTGCACATCCCTCTAGTTGCTGCATGTGGGACGCGGCCTCAGCATGGCCAGAGAAGCAGTGCATCGGTGCACGCCCGGGATCCAAACCCAGGCCGCCAGCAGCAGAGCGCACGCACTTAACCGCTAAGCCACGGGGCCGGCCCACAAAGGATGTTTTCACTCATTCAAAGAACTAAAAGAATGCAAGTGTGTCTGAACTTCAGCAACTGTGTAAGATTAGAGTAAGAGAGAAAAGCAAGGACCACGCTGTGCAGGAACTTGTAAGCCAACTTTCAGGACATGTTAAGGATTTTGGTGTCTTCCTGGTCTTCATCCTTAAAGGACTGTGAAACCATAAGAATCAGAGATGTGACATGATCAGATTTGTGTTTTTTTTAATGGTTAAATAACTTGAGGAATAGAGACATTCTTTGAATTTAGTGACGTATTAGGTCTTTATAATTTGTTTTAGTAGAGTTGTGGGTGCTCAAGCTAGATTGGGTTGGTTTGAGGAGTGAATGGCAGGTGTAGTAATGGAGGCAAGAAATTGAGCTGACCTTTGAGAAGTTTGACTATAAAGTGGAGAAAAGATAACTGGAAATTAGGAAGTTTAAAGAAAGAGGATTGTATTTGTTTTTTTTTTTTTTTTTAAAGATTTTATTTATTTTATTTTTTCCCCCCAAAGCCCCAGTGGATAGTTGTGTGTCATAGCTGCACATCCTTCTAGTTGCTGCATGTGGGACTCGGCCTCAGGATGAACGGAGAAGTGGTGCCTCGATGCGCACCCGGGATCCGAACCCGGGCCGCCAGCATCGCAGCGCGCGCACTTAACCACCAAGCCACAGGGCCGGCCCTGTATTTGTTTTTAATTTAACATGGGTGAGACTTATGCAAGTCTGTTTTGGGGGAGCACAAAATTTAGAGTAGCAGGAAGAAAGATCATAATAGAATAAGAGGCACCATGGAATATTAGAAAGGGTAAGCTCTCTCACTTAACCTTTGTGTTACCTTGGGTAGGTTAGTTAAAAGCATTCTGACTCGCAATTTCCTCATCTATGATGTAGATAAATACTTCACTAAGATATTGTGAGGATTGAATGAAATCCTTTCCAAATTTCCTTTCTCTTTTCTGAAAACCAGTACGAAAACTCAACTAAATTTAGCTTAGTTTCTTTTTCTCCTCTATTTTGATTAGTGGGTAATTAAAATAAAAAATTGATTCTTCTCGCTTAGCCTCTTTGCATAAAATCACAATTTTCAGTCCTTATACCAAGTGATCACCTTCAGAATGCTATTATTGTTGTTTTGCAATTTGAATGTGCCTGTTACCCAAAAACTATACTGTCTGCACTCTTCAAATGCAACAGCAGAGTCTGTATCTCATATCTCATTTTATTTTTCATGAAAGTGTTTGGTTACCAATAACCTTAGCCCAATTACTTTGAAAAAATATTTTTAAGATGATTAACTTTTTTCTCAGTGTCTTTTTTTTCTCTTCTAGGTAGAGGCAGTGAATTTCTTGACTAGTAGAGAGCTGGGAAAAAATTACCTGCCTGCAGTATATTCATTTCTATAATGCAGAATCTTTAAGTATAGTTCTCACAAAAATGTATTCTAGCAATCTTACAAATATTTCTCATAAAAGAATTCTATTTCTCCATGATCTTGCAATATAAGATAATTATATTCTCAGAAAGGAAAAAATAGGTGATAGAGTTGAAAACTTTTGACGAGAGAAGGCTTATTTTAATATCTAAACCTTATCAAGGCCAGGAAGGAAGGAAATCACAAATACTTGTCTCTTAAGGCTTCCCAGGTCCAGGATTTTAAGATGGGAAGATGAGGATAAAAAAAGCCTGGACTCAACAATTGATCCGGAGACAAATGTCATCACAGCTAACCTTTGCCCTGTTGCGTGGAGTAGAGCCACACTAAGAATGGCTCCACACTTGGGTAGCTCCTGGGCTTTCGTAACCCAGACTGTACAAACCACAGTTGTTTAGGGCTGGCCCCGTGGCTTGGCGGTTTGGTGTGTGCGCTCCGCTGCTGGCGGCCCGGGTTCGGATCCCGGGCGTGCACCTACGCACCGCTTCTCCGGCCATGCTGGGGCCGAGCCCCACATGCAGCGGCGGGAGGGATGTGCAGCTGTGACATGCAACTATCTACTGGGGCTTTGGGGGGGAAAAAAAACAAACAAACAAACAGTTGTTTAAAGAAGTTTGACATTTAATTCATAAATTTTTAGTTAGCTATTATGTTGCAAGCCTTCTGAGGGCAAACTAACAGACATTCACACACACACACACACACACACACACACACACACCCCTACACATACAACTACACCTCTAGAACAGTTTTTTCCCCCACTTAGTAGCACTGAATAGTCTATTTGGAAACTTTTCAGAAATATATCATCTTATAAATTGAGATCTTTCTATGATTTCAAGTTCCTGTACTGAATTTAAAAGTGATATTTCTTAATTCAGATTATGGATTATGGGTTGTCCACCCAAAAATTATTTGATTCTTCTGCTCCCTAGCAGATTTAGTATTATTTCCCTCTGACCCCGATATAACTTTTTGCTTTTAGGTGCTCACCTGGTAGAGGTTATCGGCTGCCGACAAGTGCCTTGGTGAACCTTTCTCATGGGAGTCGCTCTGAAACTGGAAATCAGAAGTTGACAGCTGTTGTGAAACCACAGCCAGCTGTGAATCACTATAGCTCAAATTCATCAATTTCATCTGGGCGTTTGGGAGGCCTGAACCATTCCCCTCAATCACTTTTTATTCCTACTCAAGTAAGACTCTTAGTCTTTAATTTCTCTCCGTCTCTTTACAAATCACAGGCAGACTTTGTAAATGGAAACCTAATTCAACTTAGTTTTTTAAAAAGTTTTGGTTTGACTCAGTTTCAGATTTGTTTTAAGCTAATAGGCTTACTTAGCTAGTATACTATTGATAGCATTCTACCTCTGTTATAAAATTATATTAAAGAAGAAATTCATTTATTTAAATAATGAGCTTGGGAATGTCTGTTAAAAAAAATTTGAAATGTTTTCTTATATAACCCAAATGTTCTATGCTATCTGCTGTGAAATGACAGTTTTGAAAGCTAAAAGGGAAAAGACTATCTCATGTTTATCATAAGCAATTTTCAAGTTTCTACCATGCAACTCGTGAGTGATTTCATTTAGTTCATCTTCCTGGGGAAAAAATTTAATTGTTTTGTATGAGACACTTTATTTAATTCCATGGCCCCAAATCTTAACCACACTTGTTAACCCAGTTAATACGAGTTTATTATAGACTAATTAGAGAACACAGATAAGTAGATAATAATAAAGGAAACAAAAGCAAAAATGCTCTCAAATCTCATAGGTAACCATGTTAAATTTTGATGCATATTTTTCCAGAGTTTTAATCTGAATGAAGTCAGTGCCCCATAAGTAATAGCTGATTTTTTTTTTTTTTTTTTTTAAAGATTTTATTTATTTTATTTTTTCCCCCCAAAGCCCCAGTAGATAGTTGTATGTCATAGCTGCACATCCTTCTAGTTGCTGTATGTGGGACTCGGCCTCAGGATGGACGGAGAAGTGGTGCCTCGATGCACACCCGGGATCCGAACCCGGGCCACCAGCATCGCAGCGCGCGCACTCAACCACCAAGCCACAGGGCCGGCCCAATAGCTGATTTTTTAATCTATTAGATTACTTTTGTGTAAGGTGAAGATTTTAAAAATAAAATCGTTAGACGTTAGTTAATATAGCAGTACATTAGAAGACAAAAAAGTCTGTTGGTGGAGATATGGATTCAGTATAATCTTTTAAAGCATTTGTTATGCTTTAAATACTTTGCAATAAAACCATTCAAAACCGATTACTTATGAATCGGTTTTCACTCCAATGGAATGCTTTTATGATTATTATACTGAGCTCCAGAAAAAAAGAACTGAGATTTCAGATAATGAAAATTAAATATCCTGTCTACCACTAAATAACTTTAATGAATAAATTATTTGATTTTTTAAAAGAATCTTTCTTTTTTCTTTTTTTTTTGTGAGGAAGATCGGCCCTGAGGTAACATCTACTGCCTATCTTCCTCTTCTTGCTGAGGAAGATTAGCCCTGGGCTAATATCTGTGCCCATCTTCCTCTATTTTGTATATGGGACGCCACCACAGCATGGCTTGATGAGTGGTGCGTGTGTCTACACCCGGGATCCAAACCTGCAAATCCCAGTCCTTTGGAGCAAAGCACACGAACTTAACCACCACGCCACTGGGGCAGCCCCTCTTTTTTCTTTTCTTTTTTTCTTTTTTGCTGAGGAAGATTCGCCATGAGCTAACATCTGTTGCCAATCTTCCTCTTTTTTTTTTTCACTTGAGGAGATTAGCCCTGAGCTAACAACTGTACCAGTCTTCCTCCATTTTGTATGTGGGTCACCGCTACAGCGTGGCTGATGAGTGGTATATGTCTGCACCCAGGATCCAAACCCACGAACCTGGGCCGCCGAAGCGGAGTGTGCCAAACTTAACCACTACACCATGGGGCCAGCCCCAAGAATCTTTATTTTTTCATGTTTCAGTTCCTTAAGAATTTTTTTGTTTTTTGCCAGGTATCTACTAAAGATGATGATGAATTTTGCAACATTTGGCAGTCCTTACAGGGATCTGGAAAAGTTCAACACTTTCAGCCAATTCTACAAGATAAGGTTAGTATACTTTGTTTGATGGATGTTTCATTTCTAAAAATATATTTTTTTATTTCTCTTTAAGGTATGCAGTGATTAATTTTCTCCTGAAATCTCATAAAATAGAAATAACAGTTTTGATCATGAATTGTCATAGTTCTCTTCAGCCATATGTAAAAGTTTTTGGACCAGTGAGTGAGAATATAGATAATTTTTGTTTTAAATCAGTTTTGGATTTTTTTTTTTAGTTGTTTACAAAATCATAATAACCATACAGTCACGCATCGCTTAACAACAGGAATACATTCTGAGAAATGTGTTGTTAGGCATTTTTGTCGTTGTGTGAACATCATAGTGTACTTATACATACCTAGGTGGTACAGCCTACTACACACCTAGGCTATATGGTACTAATCTTATGGGACCACTGTTGTATATGCAGTCTCTCATTGACTGAAACATCATTATGCAGCGCATGTGACTATATTTTAAATTCAACAGAGGCCTTAAGGGCATTCATTAACTTATTCATTTCCACTTGAATATGTAGCTTTATGCTGGCAGTTGGTTCTCTTGAATATGAATGAGCAAATTCACATTCCTTGCTAGAGATTAAGAAGAGGAAAGAAATTCTGCTAAAAGGGTGGACTCAGATAAAAAAAGGAAGAATTAAAGGACTGAATTCCTACTACATTTTTTGCTAGTTACTGACCAACCTTCTCAGCTTAGTTCAAGAAGGAATGTTCTCTCAGGTTTATAAACCAGTAGCCTGCACCATGAGGGCCTCATTTATTCTAATGACCTCTAGTGATGGTGGCATTACCAGAGCTAGAGAGGGGAAAATAGCAAAGGGACGGATGGTAAAATAAACATAAAAAGTGAGAGTGACAAAATGCACAGGTCTCCTCTGCCAATATGCTGTTATAAATGTTCCTTAGATCATCCGTAATTCTTTCTACCTAAATGTAATCTGTATCCAGATTTTCAAACCCTCTTTTCCTCTCTAATTTATTAGGTACTGCTTACCACTCATTCTTCAGGAGTGCTTTGTTATTCATTCATTCAACACATATTTAATGGAGTGCTTGCCATATGCCAGGCATTATTCTATGCAATGAGAATATAGCTATAAAACAAAAATCCTGGCCCTCATACAATTAGTATTCTAAGGAGGAGAGGACAATAAATAAGTAAATTACATGGTATCTTAGATGATAATATATAAGTTAGAGAAAAATTGCAGGGAAGAGGATAGAGAATTTGGGGGGGAGGGAAGGGGAGGTTTTACAGTTTAAAATGAAATGATCGGGGCCAGCCCGGTGGCGCAAGCGGTTAAGTGCGTGCGCTCTGCTGCGGTGGCTCGGGGTTCGCCAGTTTGGATCCCGGGCATGCACCGTCGCACCGCTTGTTAAGCCATGCTGTGGCGGCGTCCCATATAAAGTAGAGGAAGATAGGCACGGATGTTAGCCCAGGGCCAGTCTTCCTCAGCAAAAAAGAGGAGGATTGGCATTGGATGTTAGCTCAGGGCTGGTCCTCCTCACAAAAAAAAGTAAAAAAATAAAATGGAATGATCAGGTAACATTTGAGCAAATATTTGAACGAAATGAGGAGTAGGGGATATAGGTATCTGAGGGAAGAGTATTCAAATTCAAAGGCCCTCTTGGGGAAAACCATCCCTGGCATACTCAAGGAAAAGAAAGAAGACCATTATGATTGAATCAATAGGGTGAATTGTAGGAAATGTAATTAGAGAGGTGACAGTCAATACCATGCAGGACCTTCTGGGCCATTATAAGGACATTGGCTTTTATTCAGTGAGATGGGAAATCAATGGAGGGTGTTGAGCTGCAGAATGACATGATCTGACTTATCTTTTAATAGGATCACTCTGCTTGCTATTTTGAGAATAGAATGTGGAGAGCCAGGGTGGAAACAGAAATTAATTAGGAGACTACTGAAATCAAGTTAGATTGGACCAGAGTAGTAGGAGCCTGTAAGAAGTGGTCAAATTCTAGACGTATTTGAAAGAGATTGCCAGCTGATGATGAACTGGATATGTGTTGGTAAAAGAGAAAGAATGGATTAAAGGATGTGACTTTTAAGGTCTGAGTAACTAAAAGGATAGAATGGCTATTAACTGAGTTGGGGAATATTACAGGTCGAGTAGCTTTGTAGAGGAAGATCGGGAGTTCAGTTTTGGGCATGGTAAGTTTGAGGTGTATGTTAAACATTTAAGTGGAGATATAGAGTTGGACATTGGAGTATTGGAGTGGAGATGTAGAGTTAGACATTGAGTCTAAAGTTATGGAGGATGTCCAAGCTGGAGAGAGAATGTGGGAGTCATCACACTTATGTGTGTGTGCACACATGTGCATGTGTGTATATCTGTATATCTATATCAATTTATCTGTATCTAAGGAAGTGAATGTAGATAGAGAAGAAGTCAAATCACTTAGCCGTAGAGAATTCCTTCTTTAAAGAGTCAGAGAGAGTAGGTGAAACTGACAAAGAAGACTGAGAAGGAAGAACAATGAGACAGGAAGAGAACAAGGAAAGGGTAGTGTCTAGATGCCAAGTGAAGAATGCATGCGTTTTCAACTTTGTCAAATGCTGCTGATGGATCAGTTAAGATGAAAACAGAGAATTGACCATAGAGTTTAGCACATGAAGGTCACTAGGAACATTGACAAGAGCAGTTTCAGTAGAGTGATAGGAATGAAATATTGATTAGAGTGGGTTTAGGAGAGAAGGGGAGAAGAGAAATTGGAGGCAGCAAACATGGGCAGTTCTTTCAAGCACTTTTGCTCTAAAAGGGAACATTGCCCTGAGTCCCCTCTTGCTTTTCCCTGTTTGTTCAACTTCTTTATTAACCTCTGTTCTTCCAATCTTTCCCTGGGAACTGTTCCCCAAAACTCAACAATAGTTTTCTTTTCCCTTTTGCCTTATTGCTTGACTGGTGACTTGGGCTCTTAGCTCTCTGCTAATTACCACTCTGTCTCCATCTCCAATTCCAACCTCTCAAACAAGATCTAACTAACCCAGTTTCTCTAACTTTCTGGAAGACAAGTATAGACAGATGCCTGACTATCACCTCAGCCCGTAAGATGTCTTGGAATTGACCTCACCTACGGCCTCTTCTCTTATCCTCGTTTCTAACACTACCATTTCCCCAGGCATATAATCTGAAAAGCATGGAGTCAAAAATGTTTGCTCTTTCTCTCTAATATTTTTTTGCAGTGAGACCTCAAATCTGTTTACTCCTTCTCAGTTCCCGCAACTGGACCTTACATTGTCATCCCAGGCCTAGATTAACCTCCTGTCTGTGCTTCTTGTTTCTTATCTCTTTCTTTCCTAGTTCTTCTTACATAGTCGTGCCTGATTAATCTTTCCTAAAGATCCTTTTACCTGTGTTGGCCCTATGGCATAATTGGGCAAAGTATCTAATTAATAAGAGCTCCTGGGTTTGAACTCAGTTTATGCCCTGAGACAGTGTGGTGTGGTAAATCTGGTATTGGACTCAGAATCGGGAAATCAGGTTTTGTGACTCAAATTGAGCAAATCTAAGTTCCCTGGGCCTCAGTGGCCTCAGGTATAAAATTAAGGCATTAGACTTAGATGACCTCAGAGGTCTTTTTCAGCCCTAAAATAGTGTTATTCGAATATTCTAGAATGTATAAGGCTCCCTGTTTAGTACTAGTGGAATTCAACCTCAACTCAACCTAATATTTAAGCCTTCTGTAATCTAACCCTACCTAATTCTGATATGTCCAACTGTTTGGTAAAATGGTCTATTTCCAGTCAGATTGGTCTCTTTACTTTCCCTTTCCCACAAACAGATAATTCCTATATTAGGTTATATATTCTTGTTGTTCCTTCCACTTAGGATGCCCTTTCCTCTCTCACTACCAGAATTCCCCTAGGTCTCAGTCAAAGTCTGCTAGTTATGTTACCACCTGTCTCCTTGAGATGGAACTCAATGCTTGATATTATATTTCCTCAGAATCTTCTACATGCATCCCCTGTTATTGGATGCTATTTCATTATTTATATTAGCTGAACACTTTCATGTTTTATCTCCTGTATGTTCCAAGAATTATGAGCCACCGTATATAACACTTGTATCCCCGAAACATTAATAAGCAGCCTGGTATTCATCTGATGGGCAAATTCTAGAGAACTCAACATAAAAAAAAGGATTCAAGCTTCTGGAAAAGGCAAAACTATAGAGACAGTAAAAAGATCAGTGGTTGCCAGGGGTTAGGGGGAGAGGGAGGGATGAATAGGCAGAGCACAGAAGATTTTTAGCGCACTAAAAATACCCTGTATGATACTATAATGGTAGATACATGTCATTATACGTTTGTCCAAACCCATAAAATATACAACACCACGAGTGAACCCAACGTAAACTATGGACTTTGGGTGATAATGATATGTCATTGTAGGTTCATCAGTTGTAACAAATATACCAGTCTAATGGGGGAGGCTATGCATGTGTGGGAGCATGGGGTATATGGGAAATCTCTGTACCTTCCTCTCAATTTTGTTGTGAACCTAAAACTGCTCTAAAAAAACGTCTTTAAAAAAAATTCAAGCCTTTATTGGCAAAATATGATAATGTGACTAACACAAATAGCATTATGTAGATATCAAATAGAACAACCAGAAAAACTATACTCAAAACTAGAATATTTTCTAATTAAACTTATGGCACGCTTTTTCTCTGAAATGGTGCTGTGAACGTGAGTTAGAGTTGGAGCTCAAATGTCAGCTCTCCTATTATTTAGTTTTATAACCAAATTATCACTTTGAGCCTCGGTTTACTCAACTATACAATGGAATCAAAATATACCATAGCATTTTTATGATTATAACATTGTTATAATGATGTTAAGTTAATGGATGCAAAGTACATCTTACCATGCCTGGCACATACTAGATACTCACACAATATTCATTCATACCAGTCTATTGATCCTAATGTTCTAATTCCCTACCTTAGAGTCAAAATCCCCCGTAATGTACTGCTGTAACCCAAAACCCCACCAGCCATTGTGCTGTGCAGGTGGAAATCTCTTGGCGATTTTGACTCTTCGAGACTAAAGAGCCCTGGGTGCTCCTGTGGATATGAGCGCATTGGACCTTCCTTCACACTCTAGTGCATATCACAACTATTTTGGAACATTCCCACTGCCAAATAGGACATGGTGTGCCTTTGTACCTGGTGTTTATTTGTCTGTGCTAGAAGAAAATAAATAGGGCCCACCAAAAGCAAAATTGTGAAATGATTAATTTGTATTGAACATCTCCAGCCTCTGCTTTTGCTTCCTCTTCCCATTTCATCTGTGGCAAGTTTTGTCTCTTTTTGCCTTCAGGCCTTCTTTCCCTATCAGAAAATAAAAGGATCTGATATGATCTCGATATGAAACTTACTCATGCCATTTCACTAGTTGTGTCCATTCCTGCACTGTCTCAACTACTGTAGCTTTATAATCAGTCTTGCCGTCTGGTAGTAGTCTTTCATCATTTGAAAACCTTGACAATATAAATATTAATTAATAAAATCACGTATCTGGGGAAGGGATGTGGAAGGGCTGATATCCTCAACTTTCATAACAGAGAGACAGAAATGATGAATTTTCAAAAACTTTTTAATGGAAATTTTTAAAATCATGAAGTGAAGAGAATAGTATAATGAACCCACAGGTACCCATCCCTTACCTTGCACATAGCCAATCCTATATTTTATATAACACTTACTCATTTCCCAACCCCACCTACCTCAGAGACAGCATTATTTTGAAGCAAATCTAGAGGGATCTTTAGAGGCTGATATTTCTATTGTGAAGAAATGTTTACCTAAAGTTTAATATTTTCTTCAGTTTCTGTATTAAGTTCAAGCAAAATTAGATTTAATTCTTTCTATTGAAAGTAGCGGTTTTGTAAAGTGATAGTTTTCTATGTATTTTGCTATTAAAGTAATGCATAGAGAAACATCTGGAGTGATGATTATTATGTTAATAATGGGTGGTGGAATATGAGTGGTTTTTTAAATTCTCTATACTTTTCTGCATTCCTTAAATATTTTTCTAATGAGCTATATAACTTTTATGAAAATGATAAGGTAATTATTTATTAAACATTGAGGAAAAGAAGTGGTTATAATATTAAGAGTTTGTTTAAATCATTTATAAGAATTTTAACTTTCAGGGTGCAGTTCTACCTCAAGAAATAAGTCAAGTAACTCAACATCATAAATCTGGCTTTAATGACAACAGTGTTAAATGTCAGCAAAGAAAACATGAGCCTCACAGAAAATGTAAGTTTTAAGTTAGAAAAGTATACTTGTGTTGCTAACTGCTTCCTTTTATTTTTGTTAATTAATAGCTTTACTGAATTATAATTCACATAGCATAAAATTCATCCTTTTAGAGTACACAATCAGTGGGTTTTTTGTATTTTCACAAAGTCGTACAACCAATGCCACTATCTAAGTTTAGAACATTTTCATCACCCCAAAAAGAAATACCATACCTATTAGTAGTTATTCCTCCAGCCCCTGGCAACCACTCATTTACTTTTTGCCTCTATGGATTGGCCTATTCTGGACTATTGGCCTATTCATATAAATGGAATCATAAAATATGTGACTTTCTGTGACTGGCTTCTTTCACTTGGCATAATATTTTCAAGGTTCATCCATGTTGTAGCATCTGTATCAGTACTTCATTCCTTTTTATGGTTGAATAATATTCCATTGTACATTTTGTTTATCCATTCATCCATTGATGGATATCTGGGTTGTTTCCACTTTGGGGCTGTCATGAATAATGCTGCTGTGAATATCCATGTATAGGATTCTGTGTGAACATATGCAATTCTCTTGGGTATATATGAATGAGTAGAATTACTGAGTCATGTGTTAACTCTATGTTTAACTTTTTGTGGAACTACCAAACTGTTTTCCAAAATGGTTGTACCATTTTACATTCCCAGCAGCCATATATGAGGGTCTAGTTTCTCTGCATCCTCCATAGCACTTGTTAGTGTCCATCTTTCTTATGATAGCCATCCTAGTACGTGTAAAGTGGAGCCTCCTTGTGGTTTTCATTTCCAATTCTTTAATGATGAACAACATTGAGCATCTTTCGTATGCTTATTGCCTGTTTGTATATCTTCTTCAGAGAAATGTCTATTCAAATCCTTTGCTCATTTTAAAATTGGGTTATTTGTCTTTTTATTCTTGGGTTGTAAAAGTTCTTTATATATTCTCTATACTAAGTGCTTATTCATTATTTGATTTGCAAATATGTGCTCTCATTCTGTGGATTGTCTTTTAACTTTATAGTGTCCTTGAAGCACAAGAGTTTTTAATTTTGATCAAGTTCAACTTACCTATTTTTTTTCTACGTTTTCTTTGGTTGCTTGTGCTTTGGGTGTCATATCTAAGAAACCATTGCCTAATCCAAGGTCACAAAGATTTATATTTATGTTTTCTTCTAAGAGTTTTATAGTTTTAATTCTTAAATTTAGGTCTTTTTTCCATTTTTGAGTGTTTGTATATGGTATGAGGTAGAGGTCCATATTCATTCTTTTACATGTGGATATCTATTTGTCCCAGCACCATTTGCTAAAACACTGTTCTTTCCCCTATTGAATTCTCTTGGCACTCTTGTCAAAAATTAATTGACCATAGAGGGCCGACCCCATGGCCTAGTGGTTAAGTTCAGCATGCTCCACTTCGGCAGCCCAGGTTCAGTTCCCGGGTACAGACCTACACCCCTCAGTGGTGGCCATGCTGTGGTGGTGACACACATACAAAATAGAGGAAGACTGGCACAGATGTTAGCTCAGGGTGAATCTTCCTCAGCAAAAAAAAAAAAAATTAATTGACTGTAGATGTATGGGTTTATTTCTGACATCTCAATTTCTTTCCACTGATCTATATGCCATCTTTATGCAAACAACACACCATCTTAATTGCTATAGCTTTGTTATAAGTTTTGAAATTGGGAAGTTTTGGTCCTCCAACTTTGTTTTTCTTTTTCCAAATTGTTGTGTCTGTTCTGGTCCCTTGTACTTCCATATGAATGTTAGGATCAGCTTGTCTCTTTCTGCAAAAATGGCAGCTGGAATTTTTATAGGGATTGCATTGAATCTGTGGATCACTTTGGGTGGTATTGTCATCTTAACAATATTAAGTCTTCCTATCCATGAACACAAAATGTCTTTCCATTGTTTTGTTGTTGTTGTTGTTGTTGTTGTTTATTGCAGTAACACCCATTGTTTGTCTTCTATAATTTCTTTCAATAATGTCTTGTAGTTTTCAGTGTACAAGTCTTACACTTTTTTAGTTAAATTTATTCCTAAGTATTTTATTCTTTTTAATGCTGTTGTCAATGAAACTGTTTTCAGTTGGAATGGAATGGAATTTAGGGGAGCTGGGATTGTCCATTGCTATTTATAGAAATAAAACTATTATATATTGATCTCGTATTCTGCCATCTTGCTGAACTTGTTTATTAGCCCTAATTTTTTGTGGCTTCGGCAATTAGAGATAGTTATACTTCTTCCTGTATAATCTGGATGCCTTTTATTTCTTTTTCTTGCCTAATCGCTCTGGCTAAAACCACCAGTACAACGTTGAATAGAAGTGGTGAGAGTGAACATCTTTATCTTTTCTTGATCTTAGGGATAAGCTTTCAATCTTTCGGCATTAAGTGTCATGTTAGCTCTGGGGTTTTGGTATATGCCCTTTATTAGGATGAAGAAGTCTCCTTCTATTCCTAGGTGGTTGTTTTCTTGGAGAGACGTTACATTTTGTCAAATGCTATTTTTGTGTCTATGGAGGCAATCAGATGGATTCTGTCCATTATTCAATTAATGTGGTATATTCCATTGATTATTTTTCATATGTTGAACCAACCTTGTATTTCTGGGACAAATGCAAGGTGTATAATCATTTTTATGTGCTACAAGATTTGATTTGCTAGTATTTTGTTGAGGATTTTTGTTGATCTGTATTCATAAGGGATGTTTTAAGTTTTCTTTTCTTGTGATGCCTTTGATTTTGATATCATGGTAATACTGACCTCATAGAATGTTGGGAATAACACTTTGAAAGAGCGCTAGCCTCATTCTGATCTCTCTGGTGGCAGCCAAGCTATTGGTTTCACCAAAACAGCTGGCTGTACTTTTCAAGGCTACATGGAGCTGGAGAGTGGGGAATGGGACTAGAGCAAGTTAAAATGCCACAAAGCTCACTATTCTAAGATTCAGTCTTTTTCTTGAATAAACACTCTCTGGATTGCTGCAAGCCTTTGATTAACTTCCAGAGTTCTGAAAAATTGGATTCTGGTAATTTATGCCCATTTTCTCATTGCTTTTATGGAGGAGAGAATTTTTAGAGGTCCTTACTCTGACATTTTTGCTGATTTTGCTCACTAACTACTTTTGGAGATAAATTTTATTTAGAGTAATCAATTTACTTTTCTGTGTGTAAACACTTGCCAATTAAATTAGTCCAAACTATATTACAGATTTTTGTTAAAAATATGTACAAATATTTTGTTGTTAATACTATCTTACATAATTTATATATTTTTACTCTTTTCATTCCTTTAGTAGTGTCTGCTATGTTCCAAGCACGGTAGGGAATGCAGATGCAGGGATGAGAATCTTCATCTTGCAGTTACTGTTTCTCTTCTCTTGATCAAAGTATTCCCAAACTGCAGCAAATTGCTCTTCATGCTCAAAATGTGGCTCATTTGTTATTCATTCTTTTATTTATTCAACTGCTACCTATTGAGCTGTTATGTGCAAGGCACTGTTCTAGGTGCTAGGAATATGTGAGTGAACAAGACAGACAAATATCCTGGCTTAATGGACTTTACATTCTGAGGTGGATAATAGGCAAGTAAACAATAAATTCCATAATCTGTAGTAATGATAAGTGCTATGATGAAAAATAAAGCAGATTAAGAGAAAAAAGTGATGGGGTGCTATTTTAAATAGGATAGTCAAGGAATGCCTCTATAAGGACATAACATTTGAGCAGAGACTAAAATAAAAGGGGAGCAGAATGGGATAAGCTATGCAAAAAGCCTGTTGAAGAGCTTTCCAGCAGAGGAAGTGCACAATGCTGAGTCTAATTTATGATATTTAATATGTGCGTGGTATTTTATGTATCTATATATTACATGTAGTATTAGAGTGATTTTTTAAAATATTTTTCTAAAAAACTGTTTTCAAAAAAATTTTGTGGTTTTATAATTTTGGTTCAATTTGGTAACTGCTAGACTATTTTTTTGCACCAGTATCTGTAAGTTATTTTTGTTTCTTTTATATTTTAAGTTAAATGTGGATTAATGTTCCTATAAATCTGATAAATATAGCTTAAAGATTATTTATTTAATTGAACTGCATTGCGATTTTTCTTCAAATTATTATTTACATGAATATATGTAAACTATTTGCATTATGTGGAATTCCAATTAGTTTTGTGTGTATGTCTCAACAAAAGTTTAATATCGATACATGTCAATTCACTTTTTCTCCTTTTTGCAAGATTACTTCCTTCCTTCCTCTGTTCCTTACCTCCCTCTCCTTCCTCCTTTCCCCTCCCCCTTTTTTTCCCTCTCTCTGTTCCCTCTTTTCCCTTCCCTTTCCATCTTTGTCCCTTCCTTCCCTCCTCTCTCATCCCATCCTTCCCCTCCCCGCCATCCCCTCCCCCTACATCTTTTCTCATCCTCTCTTTCTCCCTTTCCTCCCCCCGCCACTTCCGTCCTTCCTACTTTCCTCCCTTCCTTTCTTCCTTTTTCCTTTCTTCCTTCCTCTTCTAATTCATCTTTGTCATTTCCTCTACCATTCCCCCAATTTCCCCTTAACAGGAATACTGAAATAACTTCCTAATTGGTCTCTCACTCTCCTTCTGTCTATCCAATAAGCCACTGCCATATTTTAATCTTCCTGAGGCACAATTCTGAACAGCTCACTACTTGCTCAAAACCTTTCTATGATTGATTGCCCATTGCCTACCAGTTTAATTCCATGGTCTTCAAAACCTTGCAGATTATTGCTCCAACCTGCTTCTCTAGTTCAGTTAAGCTCCATTCTACTCCTTAACCTCCAGTGGAACTGGTCTATTTAGAGCTCCATAGACACATTACTTGCTTTCTGCTTCCATGTCTTTTCTCCTATTATTTCCTTTGCCTGGAATACTTAGCCTCCTATTCTGCCCTTTGGAAACCTACCGTCCTTTAAGGCTCAATTAGATGCTACCTTTCCTTTTCTCTTATTGTTGTTATCTGTGAGTATCAATTCTACCCCTCATCTAGAATATAAATTCCTCAAGATTGGGCCTTTTTCTTCTTGGAATTCTGTGACTCTAACACAGTGCCTTGCTATGGTAAATATTTGGTAAATTTTCTTGGTGTGCAGCAAGTTCTTTCATTTACCAAAATTTCTATTTTCTTGTCTCTAGTTAAAGAAGAGTGTAAGAGTCCTAAAATGGAGAGTCGGTCACAAAAAATGTCAAATAAGCAGGTAAGCTTTCTTAAATCAGATTTCTAGTAGCCAACTTTCGATTGCGTTTGGTGGCTCTGTGGCATCTGACTGAATTTTGCAGCCCTTTCAACCAAAACCTTAAGGTGTGTGGCATGAGGTTTGCTAAAGTCTGACAGTCACTTGGCTGGAAGGTTGCACAGCTAGAGTCCAAAATTCGGAACTAGAGACACTTGAAGTCCTTGTTCCGCTGTTTAATAGCTAGGTGGCCTTGAGCAATTCTCTACACCTCTCACAGCCTCAATTTCTTCATCTTTAAAATGGAGATAAAAATAGATCATTTGTCTCTCTCAATATATATAGTTCATACATTCACACATACATACGAACATACCTACATACATAAGTGTGTGTGTGTGTATATATATCCATAAAATATGTGGAATTATGTTTATACATACAATGAAAGTATGTGGATCAACATAACAAAGTTAACAGTTAATTCTGTAGGTTAGGTTGGTGGGGGGAAGCTGAGATCATTTATGTTTTATTTTGTATAGTCTCTGCTGTTTGATAAGGAATATGTATACATTTTATAATCAAAGAATAACAAATTTTTAATCTAAAAAATTCAACATGTATACTTATGTGCATTTTGTGTATGCATATTATATTTTAATACAAAGTTTGAAAAAATTAGATCTCTTATAAGCTAGTAATACATTAAATTTATAAAAAATGTCTTACCAGAATATTTGGCACATAACAGATTCTCAGTAAGTGGAACCCATTAATATTTAGATATCAGTCAGTGGTTGAATTATATGACTTCTAAGGCCCTCTCCTTTTGAAACTCTTATGCTATAATTTCCTTTCTTCTAGAAAAGGGATTCATAAACTTTTTGTGCTGTGGACCTCTTTGGTGAAGCTTTTTCTCAGAAAAATGTTTTTAATGCTAAAATAAAACACTTAAGATTTGAAAGAAAATCACTTATATTGAAATGCAGTTAGAATCATCCCTATTGTGGTTTATTGTCTACATTCATAATTTAAGGGAATGCTAAATCTTATTTAGAAGTTAATGAAGATAAAGATGTAATTATTTTCCTCATCTGAGTTTAGGTCCCCTTTTTTTCTTACGGTACAAAAGGGAGAATAGCACATAAAAAAGCTTGTAGCAATTTATTTAGAACATTATTAAGTAGTAACTATAAATTTTATTTGCACAAAAAGCTCATTCTTACTCTTTTATAGACGTTTGGAGGGCCTGCCAAATGTAATATTAAGCTATTGAAGAGAAATGAAAGTGCAGAAGTCTCAGAAAACCAAAAAGTTATGACTGGTTATCCAAATGCTATTGATAAGGTAACAGACCACTTATTCAATTTCTCTTCCCAAACTTTAACACCTGGGAAGATGATTGAGTGAAAATTAAATATATCATTTTCGTACATAAAATTCTCAGCTTTTTCTGTGTTCTTGTACTTTCATCTTCATGCATAAAATATTTATTATTTTAGCATACCCCTGGAATTGAGAACTTTTTAGCATCTTTGAATATCTCCAAAGAAAATGAAGTACAGTCATCTCATCGTGAAGAGCCTCCAAGTGAAGAACTTTTGTCACCACAGTCATTTGCTATGGTTCGTAGTCTGTAGGAGCTTTTGTACTATAGTAATTTCACTATTGTTATGCATACATACCCTATGCAACTGCTAACACACTTTTCTCTCATGTGGACTGGGGTGTTGCATCATTATTGTCATCCTCTGAGGAAAACCAGGCTGCCCTGGGCAGTTTAGCTGTCTTTTTCTTTTTTTCTCTTTACACCATATCTCCCTTGCTTTTCAAACATTACTTCTAGGTGATTTGGCCAAAAGTTAAGCAGAAAAATAAGTGTTATTTCTATGCCAGGAAATGTGGGTAATTTTTTTTTTAACTATAGGCTATTGATTTTCATTATTCTCTATCTGAATGTAGTTAACTTTTAACAATGGAACTCATTAAAAGAAGGATCAATAAGCTCTGTAACTCTGATGTTAACTTTTCTCCTCTGTCCCCACCATATCCATACCAATCATTTTCAAAACAGAAGGGAACACGGATGCTTAAAGAAATTCTAAAAATTGATGGCTTTGACACTGTGGACCATAAGAACGAAATGAAACAGTTTGGTAATGTTTCCTCTAATAGAAGAGATGAATATGGATCTTCCTCACAGCCTAAACCAAATAAGAAATTAAGTAAGTAAACTAAGTACTATTACTAATAACCAATATCTTTTCAAAAATTCAGTTCATTTGTTTTCTTTATCATGGGCTTTTTAAAGATAAAACTACTTTTATTTTTAAAAGAATATAACTAAGAATAACAAATAAGAGTATAACTTTTATGCTTATGTCATTTATATATTAATATAACTGTGTAACCAATAGATCAGTAGTCCCTAAATGTCTTCTTGTGATTACTTAAATATTCTATTACAGATACTCATTGTGCAGATCCTTAGCCTGGAAAGGTTTTCACATTCTTGCTTTTTTCCCTCAGTAATTTAAAAATGATTATATAACCTAAATACATTATTTAACTTTTCTAAAACTCTTTTTTCCTATTTATAAAATGAGAATAGCATTGCAAATGACTGTTGCGATAATTATATGACATGTATAAAGCAGTTAGCACTATGTCTGGCACATTGTAGGTGCCAATAATTGATATTAGTATTATGTTAAAATAATTTGACCAACATAAAAATAGAAGAAGCTATAAAATCAATTAAAAATAATTAATGGAGGCAGACATTAGAAAGTGGGTAGTTACCTTAAATCTGTGAAGCCTATGGCATAACATCAGGCAGTAAATGTTATCATTGCCCCTACCCTCCGTGTCCCCTATGCTTTAGTATTTTGTCTATGTTATTATCTGCAAAAGCCTACCAAGAAGAATCACTAATAGAAAAAGAGGTGGGGACAGAAGTTTCTCAGGGAGGTAAAAAACATTTCTGAATAAGCAGATCTGAGTTTATTAAGGATCGAAATCTGGAACAAAAATCAGAGCCTACCTCCATTTATACTCTGGTAAATATTGGGGTAAATCATTAATTAAAAATTCCAGTAACTATTAAGAAACTATTTATCATGGTGACAGACATGCTATTGAAATAGAGCAAAATAAAATTTTAAAACAAAATTGGATAAAGATGGTCCAACTGTCAAAAACAAGTAACTTTTACTTAATTTCAGTATAGTGAAAAAAATCATACACCTTAGAGTCAAGAGCTCAGAATTAAGCACACGTTACAGAACTAACGAGCTCTGTGACTTTGGGCAAGCCATTTAACCTTTTTCTTACTCTAAAATAGTAAGAAGTTTAGATTCTTTCTTCACTGGGGTTTGCTCTTATTCTCTTAGTGAGTTTGTTGATCATAAAGAATGTGAACTTTCAGAAATTTTTAATCATCTATGTAACAGCACTTAAAAGAAGGAATTTCAGAAAAACTTTTAAGAAGCATCATTTTGGAGCAACAAAAACATGCATCCATGAATCTCAGAATGTAAGATAGAATTTTGAATCCAAAGCCTCAAAACTTAGGAATTAATTATAAACCAGATTAAAAAAAGCCATTTGCTTATTCGAATTTTGCCTGTAACATAACTATGTAGTCATTAAACTCTCAAGATGTTAATTTTTGGCAGTCAGCTGCTTATCATATTTTAAAATCTTTATCTTAATCCTGTATCGTTAATCAGCTATAATCATCTAAAAATATTTATTGAATTCTTAGTAATTTTAGGTAATACTAAATAGTTCTTATATTTGCTTCATGGGAGAGTCTTCTTTTCACCTTTTAACGATTTCCTGCTTGTTTTCTCTAAAACCCTGCAATAATTGCATAGTTCAACATACTTTTTAATATAAATGTGTCCTTTTCTCTTTTTTGGTAGCATCTTATATGAACAAGTCTCACAGTGCTAGTGAGTACCGTAATGCGCAGTCAATGGACAATGTGTGTTGGCCTCCTCCCAGCCAGATCCCTCCTGTGTCCACACCAGTCACCGAACTTTCTCGAATTTGTTCTCTTGTTGGAATGCCACAGCCAGATTTCTCCTTTCTTAGAACACCACAGGTATAGTATACTATTGTTCTATTTACATAAATTCTTTAACACTGAGCATAAATAAATTGACCGAAAATCTTTGGCTAGAGATAATATGATGGGGCTGATTTTTTTGACTTTATGAGCAGCAGATTTATAATTCTTACTCTGGTTGTTCTTTTTATGCATAACCAGAGCCATTTCAAACTTTTTGGTCTTAGAAACTCCCCACTTTTTTTGAGGACCCCAAAGAACTTTTGTTACTGTGTTATATCCATATTTACTGTATTAAAATTAAAACTAAAAAATTTTAAGTATTTATTGTTTATTAAAAATAACTTCAGGGGCTGGCCCAGTGGGGTAGTGGTTAAGTTTGTGTGCTCTCCTTCGGCGGCCCAGGGTTCGCAGGTTCGGATCCCAGGCGCAGACCCATGCACCACTTGTCAAGCCATGCTGTGGCAGGCGTCACACATATAAAGTGGAGGAAGATGGGCACAGATGTTAGCCCAGGACCAATCTTCCTCAGCAAAAAGAGGAGGATTGGCAACAGATGTTAGCTCAGGGCTAATCTTCCTCACACACACACAAAAAAATAAATAACTTCAAAAAAATTTAATGAGAAGAGTGGTATTGCACTACACTTTTGCAAATCTTTCCCATCTCTAGCTTAGTAGAAGCAGCTAGATTTCTCGTATCTGCTTCTTACTGTCAATCTCTTGTGATGTATTGTTTTGGTTGAAATATATGAAAAAAATCTGGCCTCAGACAGGTAGATAGTTAGAAAAAGGGAGAGATTTTAATAGCCTTTTCATATAACTGTGGCTATTCTTTGATACTATACTAAAAAGTGGTATTTTCTTAAAAGTTAGTTGCAATGTAGAATCTGAAACTATATCAATAAACTTTTTGTCTCCTCTATACTTATGAGGAAATGAGAGTGAAAAGGGCAAATAGCATCTTAGTATTATTATGAAAATAGTTTTGACCTCAAGGACCCCCAGAAAGGGTCTCAGGACCTTTGGGTCCGCAGACAGTGGCGTAAGAACCACTGGCTACGAGGAAAATTGTTTTATCCTTTTTACATCCAAGTTCTTGATACATTCTCGCCAAACAGAAAGCAGGATTAAACTAATAATATATAAAAATAGCTACCTTTTGAAAAGTACAATTTTTTAAAACTCTTTTTTGTAAAGGAAAAAAAGTATAATGTAAAGAGTTATAGTTTAAATGTGAATATAAAATTAGTCAGACCCTCTGAGTCTTTTAGATTTTGGCAATTAATTCATATTAGCAAAATATCTGCAATTTAGAGGATGGTATAAAGGAGAGGTCAGCAAATTTTTTCTGTAAAGGGCCAGATAGAAAATATTTTAGGCTTTGTGGGCCATATGGTGTCTGTCACAGCTACTCAACTCTGCAGTTATAGTATGAAAACAGCCATAAGCAATACATAGAGGAATGGACTTGGCTGCGTTCCAATAAAACCTTATTTACCAAAACAAGTGGAAGGCCTAGTTTCCCAACCCTTGCTAAAGAAAAAAGTTTTGCTGGCTTTCATTTGCATTAGGATGCTTGACCCTTCAGCTAGCTTAAAGAGCATTTTATTTTGTAAACATTAAAAGGTAAGGCAACAATTCTAAAGTGTTTGCTTGGCAACTGAAAACTTAAACTGATAGACCTTTTTTGAATTCTTAAATTCTTTTTTACAGAATGTCAGATGAAATTATTCTACTTGTTTAGACTAAGCTTTTGGGGAGAAGATCGACTTCCTAACTTCATAGACATGGGTATTCTCTTTTTTAGACAATGACAGTTTGCCAGGTAAAGTTATCCAATGGCTTGTTGGTGCATGGGCCACAGTGCCATTCTGAAAACGAGGCCAAGGAAAAAGCCGCGCTGTTTGCTTTACAGCACTTGGTGAGACCTGTTCATTCCCTCTCTTCTACATTTTAATTAATCCTTATGGATGTGTTTGTTGCATTATCTTATAACTTGTAATACTTCCATAGGGCTCCTTAGGAGTTAATTTCCCTTTGCCTCCACCAATAATTCCAAATTATCCTCCTGCCGTATCACCCGGAACCATTCCTCCAGTTTTTTCCCAGACTACTGGTAAGATATTTTGCTCTTCTAAATATTTGTTATTAAGTTATTATTTTTAGAAAGTTCTTTTAAGAAGCATCATTTTGAGGAAACCAAAAAATGTGTTTAAACGTCTAGGGAATGTAAGAAGGAATTGTTAGAAGTAAGCCTGAAACCAGAGCCTACAGATTCATTTAGAAATAACCATTCCTCTCCTACAACCTCTGGTGTGGCTGGAGTAGGACAGTTGTTTGTTCTGGACAGCCTCTTTTCCCTAGTAGCTGCCAACAGATGAGTTTGGGTTTAAGTTAAATATCAAAAACACAGCCGGGGCAGGAGGCGGTTGGTGCGGCCCGCTGGCGCAAGTGGTTAAGTGCGCGCAGCCTGGGGTTCACAGGTTCGGATCCCAGGTGCGCACCAACACACCGCTTGTCAAGCCGTGCTGTGGCGGCGTCCCATATAAAGTGGAGGAAGATGGGCATGGATGTTAGCCCAGGGCCAGTCTTCCTCAGCAAAGAGAGGAGGATGGGCAGATATTAGCTCAGGGCCGATCTTCCTCACACACACAAAAAAAACTACAGCCGGGGGGGAAAGAAACAGAGGTGAAGGAAATAAAAAGCAGATAAGGCTTTGAAGGTGGGGATGTGAAAGAAGCTGCCCTTGACAATGAGAGAAATGAAGCGTGGAGGGTTTTTAAGCTTACTATATAGTTTCTGAATATTCTCTCATAATTGTTTTCCTCTTTCAAGCGTAGTGCCTGAGTTATCAAGCAGGTGGCTCCCTTCTTCCTTTAGCCAGTTGGTGACTTCCTAATGTGCTGGGGGAATGGAAAGGTCACTGTGGAATCAGGACTCTCTTTTTGTCCAGCCTCTTTTATTGGCTGACTTTGAGAAAATCATGCAACTTCTTTGGGACTCCATTTTTTTATTTATACTAGACAGTGTCCAGGATCTCTTTGAGACTAACATTTGGTAATTTTATAATTCTAAATCTTAAGTTCATTAAACATTTCTTTTATCACTCCTTTTTCGTAATAGTAGTTGGCTTCTTCATATCCTAAATCATTATCATTTTAAAATCAATAATTTGTTTATTTAATGTTTAAAAAGTTATTTTTCGGGCCGGCCCCGTGGCTTAGCGGTTAAGTCCGCGCGCTCCACTGCTGGCGGCCCAGGTTCGGATCCCGGGCGTGCACCAATGCACCGCTTCTCGGGCCATGCTGAGGCTGCGTCCCACATACAGCAACTAGAAGGATGTGCAACTATGACATACAACTATCTACTGGGGCTTTGGGGAAAGAAAAAAAAAAAAAGGAGGAGGACTGGCAATAGATGTTAGCTCAGAGCCGGTCTTCCTCAGCAAAAAGAGGAGGATTAGCATGGATGTTAGCTCAGGGCTGATCTTCCTCACAAAAAAAATAAAAAAAATAAAAAGTTACTTTCCTGAGTCTACTATATGCCAGGTATTGTTCCAGGAGCTCTACATAGCTAATCCTGACTATAAACATTAGAAAGGTTAATTATTCTCATTAAACAAGCTATCTCTTCTGTTTGCCTAAACTCCATTAAACTGAATAATAAATGATTTTAAAAGTGCAAGGCTCCAAGGACAAAGAGATGAGAGAAGAAATATCAGCAAATTAGAGTTTTGAAAAGAGTTTGTGATGAGAAAAGCAACTGAAGAAGTCATAACCAATTTGCAAGGCAGGGTTGAGCTACAAACCAAAGTGTCTGTAGAAGAGGATACAAATGAGCTGATGAGCAGGTTGTCCCTCGCCATTCCCAAGAGATTCAGAACTTGGAAGTATCAGAAGCTGTCAGAGCTTCAGATGAGGCATGGACTGAAAAGAAGGGGATTGGTTCAAAGTCTGTATGTGGAGTGATGGAATCCCTCTCCAGATCCCTGCCCTGCACAGCCAGGCAGTTGCCTGTTCAGGGAAAGACTGGAGGTATGTTCTCCAGAGGGCTCCCTAGATACTGGGGCACCAGGCACAGAGTAGAGAATGAGATATTAGGCTGAAAACTGACATTAAGGTAAAGTGCCTTTTCCCCAACTAATTCCTAGATTATAGCCAGCCATAGCCCCCCAGATAGGAAGTTGGAAGATGGTTCTTTTGAGAAATTCATTAAATTTCAAAAGACTGGCTCACTACCCAATCATCCTAGACAGAAGCCCTCAAGTCATCTAACCTATTCCCTCCCCACACAGACACTGCTTCAAGTCACAGTTTTAGTGTCGTGCTCTTTAATATGAATAGATATTAGACTGTGAGAGACCACTGGACATTTTAGGAAAAATCTGTAAAATTAAAAGAAAGAGCCCAAAACGAAGAGAAATGAAAGGGACCTGGAAACAGAGATAATGTAGGAAATAAGGACTTCAAAGACAGCTATAGTTAATATTCTTAGTGAGATAAAACAGTATTGCAACCAAAAACTAAGAACAAGAATGTATGGAAAAAAGAATAATTGGAGAGCAAGAATTAAATTTTTGAGTCTAAATTTTAAAATTCAGTAAATAAAGCCCTAGCAAAGCCAAGGAAATCTCAGGAAGAAGAGCAAGATAAAAGGTGGAACCTAAGAAAGAAGGGAGATTTAGAGGAACAGTGCACAAATCCAACACTCATCTAATTGGGGTTCTGGAAAAAGAGACCAGGGATAATGGAAAGGAGGAAAGTATCAAGGAAATTAGATAAGAACTTTCCTCAAACTAAAGGACATGCATCTCTAAACTGAAAGGGCCACCAAATGCTTATAGCACAGTGAATGAAAAGAGAGACAGATTGCCTTGAAATTCAGAATACCGTTGATAAAGAGATGGTCCTAAGAGGTCAGAGAGGAGGGGGATATGCATATAAAAGATCAAGAATCAGAATCGTATTGCACTATTTAACAGAGGCTAGAAGGCAGTTGAGCATTAAACGCCTCAAAATCCTGAGGCAGAATTAGTTTCATCTTAGATTTCTCTGTATAGCCAAACTATGAATCTAATACAAGAGTAGAATAAAGACTTTTTCAGACGTGCAGACTTACTTCTCATGCACCCTTTCTTAAGAAGCTACTGGATTATATGTTCCAACAAAACAAAACAGTAGTTAAAAAAGAAAGAAAACAAAAGCATGAGATTAAATCACAAGAGATCTAGTATACTTATACAATGAATGGAAATCCCAGAATGCCAGCTGCTCAGTAGGTCTAGAAAGGAACTAGTCCCGGTTGGAAGAGCAGAGGTAGCATTTGGAAAAATATTAAGGATAGGTACTTAGAAGACTAAAGTGCTTTTAAAAGATAATTACTTTTAAAGGATAATTATTTTTAAAAGAGTAAAAAAAGTGTTACAAGAAAAAAAAACAGAGTACCTCACTTGGCTCTGCAGTGACAATATGTACACAGCCACATACCGTAAACACTGCTTATATATTTAAACAGATATTGTGATATACTTACATTAGAAGGACAGGGCAAGTAGTGAGGGGTGGGATAAAAGAACTGAAATTTGATCTGTCTTAATAGGAAGTCAGTAGATCTAAAACGGCCTAAAGTTGAAAAATCACTAACTAGTAGTATAAGCAAATTATTGAACAGTAGGCAAAAAAACAGCTAAAACAGATAAAGCTGGGATGGAACAGGTGACTGCTGTATTATGTTGAAAACCTTTTTTATTACAGTGTGTATGTAGTACTTTGATTGTTTTAAAAAATGTAATTTGTCTAAGGTCATAACTTACTAAGTGGCAAAACTGGCATTCAAACCCAAGTCTATCTAATTCCAAAGCCTGTGCTTTTGTTACTGTACTACACTGGCACTCCTTTCCCTGTATAAACAATGTTTTGGTCATAAAATTTTTATGACATAATGGATCTGATGTTTTCATATAGCTCAAGGTAGTAAGTGCACTATAACTTGCAAAATCTAATTTGACCGATTCTTCACTTTCAAGAATGAATCCAGTAACTATATATAAATTAATTTTAAGTAATTAGTATATGTAGGTTACCTAACCGTGTACCCACAAGCTTCTCTAAAAAAAAAAATCTGTCAAAAATAAATAAATAAATAAATAAATCTGTCTTATGAGAATATATTATATATAAAAGGAATGATTGTTTTCACCATTCTCAATATTTTGTAGCTTGATATTTTTACCTTTTTCATGTTGATTATTGTATTTATGTTTATTATTGTATCATGTTTATTAGTATAGTCATACTTACCAAGAATTTTAAGGTTATAATTGGAATTCTTTTGGTCTTGTAATAGGTGCTGTCCAATGTTCTAATTAAAATATGTGATATAAGTAAAAGCCAAGAGATTTGAATGGTAATCAGGAGAAAAAAACTTAAGCATCAGATTAACATTTTAAAGTTATTTTTTAGATTTCTATTTTATGGTATGAAATAGTCCCAATGGAGGAAATGTATTTTATATTTAAAACAGTGATTTATTGGGGAAATTGTGAAGCTGACCTATGCATAAGATTAACATAGCATCTTTTAAATAGATGTTAACGTTATGACTGCCACCAAAGTTGCTTATAGATAGTATCAAGACCTAATTTTCTAAATCTTATTAGTGTTTTTCATATTAAAAGTTTTCTTTATCCTGGGATTTGTGCATATGTAATTCATAACACAAAAATACGTTATGATTCTTCTCTCCTGATCCCAAAATTTCTTAAGTGGCTTCATTTTATTTAAGCTATATTATCTTACAGGTCTGGCTGCCTTTTTCTCTCTCTGAGAGGTTTGAATGCACTGCATGTCTTCTGCAGTGGCAGTGTGCTGGTGCCTCAACTGTCATTGTTTAATGCAGTGGTTCCAGATGCTGCACTGATGCTGACTATCTGCGTAAGAATCACCTGGGGAGCTCGTTGACAATACAGATTCCTGGGCCTCTCCGAGTCTGGTCTACTAGGTATGAGGCCATGCCCAGGAACCTGTATTTCACAAGCTCCCCGGGTGACTGAGATACACAAATCAGGTTTGCATACCACTGTTTCAGTGAGCTTTTATTTTATTTTATTTTATTTTATTTTTTGTGAGGAAGATCAGCCCTGAGCTAACATCTGCCAATCCTCCTCTTTTTTTGCTGAGGAAGATTGGCCGTGGGCTAACATCCATGCCCATCTTCCTCCACTTTATATGGGACGCCGCCACAGCATGGCCTGCCAAGCGGTGCATTGGTGCGTGCCCAGGATCTGAACCGGCGAACCCCAGGCCGCCGCACTGGAGCGCACACACTTAACCGCTTGTGCCACCGGGCCAGCCCAGCCCCTCAGTGAGCTTTTAATAAGAAATAAAATGTAAATTAAAAAAAAAAATCCTTGAATTACAAATATTAGAATAGGGAAAAGAAGGATTCTACGTGTCATATGAAAGTGATCAGATTTCAGTATTTGAGCTTTTTCGGTTTTTTTTTGTAGGCTGGGATCACTATGGAAGCAACTTAGCATTGGGGGCAGGTGAGTGAGATCCTTAAGATTTCTCTCTTTGTGCCCTGGCTTTTCTCCCTCAAGGGACAGTTTCGTGACCCTTTTATTATTTATTTAAACAGTATTACAAATATTCCTAAAGCTCATATCAGTATAAGGTACTAGGGGCCTTTGTAGGCCAGATGGCATAATGATAAGCTGACTTCTGTAGGTAGTTCACAGTCCTAAGGGGGCTCCTAAGGTTGAATGTTGTAAGCAAGATTAATCATAAGTGTATGCCCTTTGCAAAGTGAAAAAAGGGTAACAGAAGGAGGTCTTAAACTTCAGGGTTTTGATGATACCATTTTACTAAAAGAGAAATTTTCCATGATTTTCAACAGCTAATATAATGCCTCCATCATCTCATCTCTTTGGCTCACTACCATGGGGACCACCAGTGCCAGTTCCTGGGAAGCCTTTCCATCATACTTCATATTCTGGGACCGTGCCCATGGCTGGGGGAATGCCAGGTGGTGTGCACAATCAGTTTATACCTCTACAGGTGAGACCTAGAAAGAGAATTATTATATTTTTAAGAGAATTAATTTTTTTAATTCTCAAAGACCATTGATAAAAATTTGTTTATTCAATAATTATTTATTCAGTGCCAGCTGGAAGCCCAGTACTGGGTTCTGGGTGCTGAGAATATATTATAACCAGTGATGACCAGTCTGACCTCATCCCTGCTGTCTGAGTTTGTGTTCTAATAAATAATAATAATTGCAGTGAGTAATAATATCCTTTTCTAGCTCAAAATGATTTAAAATCAGGAATATAAATTTTCTTTATATTTAAGTCATGGAGAATTTTTAAATATTTTATTCATAACTAAATTCCTTGAATTTCTCAAGTGTGATTTGGAGATTATAAGTAGAAGTCACAAGTGAGCAGTAATTAACAAATATTAGCAGCATGGTTTATAGTATTTTCTGATACTAGCTTTTTTTGCCTACATTGTTAATTAATGATGCTTTTATTCCTCAAAGGTTACTAAAAAGAGGATTGCAAACAAAAAGAACTTTGAGAATAAGGAGGCCCAGAGTTCTCAAGCTACCCCCCTTCAGACTAGCCAGCCAGGATCTTCCGATGTCACCAAAGTGATTCCACAGGGGAGTTCATCAGCTTCCTTAAAGTCCTCTCAGATCACTCAACCTGCATCTTCTCAAGTTGAAGCTGCCTCCCAAGGCCGTAGTATGTCTCACCATAAGTCAACACCAAGCTCTTCTTCAAGAAGAAAATCAAGAAAGTTGGCTGTCAATTTTGGCGTTTCTAAACCTTCTGAATAAATTTGGTACTTGGAATTAAATTAATTTCTTTCTTTTCCACACACCTTTTTATAAATCCATATCTGTGTCTCAAAAAAATTAGAATCTGCTATTTTAAAGTAATGTTTCAATTGAAAATTTTTAATTTTTTAGTTGTCAGGCACTTTTCATGCTGTTTAAAAGACTATCAAATTGTGCATCTTAAATATGTGCAGTTTGTTTTACATCAATTATACCTCAATAAAGCTGTAAAAAAAAAAAAAGACTAAATTAAACCTTGTGTTAAAATAGTATCAGTGGACTAAGCATTAAAATGTACCACTCTAACTGTTGGCCTCATCCTTAGAAGCATCCTGAACTATGAATTAGACATCATATTGCAATAATAATAAACATTTTTTACACTATCATTGAGGAATAATTAAATGGAGCATGAAAATTTGGCCTCAAGTATAATTTACTGAATGTGGATTTTATTTCTCTTTTTAATGATGTAACAGAATTGTCAGGAGAATGGCTTTTATTTGTAAGTATTTTAACTTGTGTTCTGTTGTCTCCGAGGGTCCTCGAGACCTGCCGTGAATGATCACACTTGTGGTGGTGCTGCCAGTTCTGCTTTATCCTAAATTTGTACCAAAGCAACTTTAGAATACTGAGCAGAATATTTCATTTAACTGCTTAAAACTATAAATAGCAATCAGATTTGAGTAAGTAATTACAATTTTTTAGATTCTTCAAGAACCAGCATTAGTAATTTCTAATAAAATTGTTTCAAAATCTACAGGGTATAATGATTAAAAATTAAACTTCTAATGAAATAAAGTTCAAAATATTAATCATTTTAATTAAAATAAATTATGTTATTCTTTTATATAGCTTTTTACCTGCTTCCTTAAGCATATGTGAGAGCTCCGTTGTTGGTCCATGTGTAGTGCTTCCTGGAACAAATGAAACTCTAAATTTTTTTTAATTCCAAGCTGTGCTTTAATATAGGCACAATCACTTTGTGATGTACATTATTTACACGACAAATGCCTGTCTCATTCTATTTCCGTATTTTTAGCTTTATGCTGAACTGTTCAGTGACTCTGTCATTTTGTCTTTGCATGTCATGTGTGGGTGGATATTGTTCAAGCTGTGGCTGTTGAAATTATTTTAGAATTTATGAAAATTTCTCAGTGGTACCAAGGCCTGAGTTTTTATATATATATTTACCCTTTAGTTTTTGTGATATGCTTATATTTTTAAGGAAGTAAATTATCATACTTTTTTAAAAGTAGAAACCATAATCTTTATATGGAGCTGCTTATTATATCCAGTTTCATTTAGCTCCTTGAAAACTCTGCTGAGTCTTAAAGTAGTCTGTTTGTTTTAAAAAATGCTGGTATTGAACTAAATGGATTCCTTTCCCTAACTGCTGACTTCAGAGTTTCTCTAAATGTTAATAGGATATTTGTATATTAGTAGTGCCTTTAATATAAGAGATAAATATTCATTATCTGTCATTTATTATAGTCTTGTGAGTTTCTGTGATTTTATTTTCTATTAATTTCCTAGATTCAGATGTTCATCAGTTCCCAACATTTCCTTGTTGGGAATGTTTGTTTATCTGGTGTTTATCAATGTTTGTTGGTAGTGGGATCTTCAGTAATGAGGCTCAAGTAATTGTCAGTGTTTGTCCTTGCTGCATCACAAACTCTCGATTTGTTTTAAAAGGAAACATCTATTATGGAAATGCAATACGAAAAAGTTCAATTGTGACAGTCATGTTCCGTTAACCTCTTACTACTTCCATGTATAATGTTTCTCACCGTACATAACTGTATAAACTCCAGCATTCAAGAATTGCCTCACTCCTGTGTGATCACTCCGTGAACAGTGTACAGCCCACATCTTTTTTAGAGCACAGAGGAAGGAGCACATGCCGTCTTCTGAAAACTCCAAGAAAAATTTCAGTAAGCATAGTGCCGCTGAACCCATAAGGATATTTCCCCAGTGTTTGAGCAAAGCAAGCTGACAGTTCTATATGGATGGGCAGTAAAAGTGTTTTCTCTTCATTCCTTCTTCTCTTTTTTCTAAACATATTATTCTAAAGGTCAAGATTGAAGAGGGATTACAATAGGAGACAGCTCCATAATGACTAGATCGTGCTTGGGTGTTTATCTATATTCTTTTCCCCCTGTAAACCTATTCCAGATGTGGGCCTAAGATCAATAGGGGATGGGTCCTCCCTCCTGTTTTTATCTCATGATAATCTTGAGGAGACTGGATCCATTGATAGTCTGGGAAACTTATAATTTTTTTGTTTTGGATGATACAGACTCAGACCACCCGGAAGTTTAGAAATACACCCATTCAACCGTTGAATCTGCTAAGGACTCTGAAAACTGTGGACGATAAGGGGTACAGAAGAGCAGATTCCCCAAATTGCTTCAAGTTTCCACATAACTAGCAGTTAAATCTAAATATCCTTGCTCAATAATTTTTTTCTTTGTTTTTGAGCACATTAAGTGAATTTTGCAGATTGATCCTTCCAGTCTCATTCTTCCTTTTCACAATTTCCTACATTACCTGATCATTACCTAAGTTTTATAATTTAACAGAATGTATTAATTGATTTAAACGTCATATAGACTAAAGTCTTAAACATCTGAGACTCATTTGCATGAAAAATTAATTCCACCTCTGTGTGTACCTTGGTTTCAATTTAAGACTGTCCTTGCTTTTCAGAAGGATAAGTAGTTTTTTTAGAACTAAAAAAGATAAGGAGATTTTTTTTTTCTCCGTGAGAGAGATGAAGAACTCTTGATGCAGGGTTTTTTTGTTGTTTATTTCCTTTTCTATGATCTGATATTTACTTTGGTTTTAGATTGATATTTCCAAACTAATCTAGATTCTTAACTTTAAGGGTGGGGAGGGCAACGAAGCAGGTGGTTGGGAGAAGGGAATCCCTTAAATAAGACATATCCACTCACTGCGTTTTCATATGTTTCTGGCTCAAGGAAATAAAGAAGCTGTGGAGTCTTATGTATCCACTCACTTTTTAATCATCTGTTCTATATGTATTAATGTCACACATTTTCATAGTGATCATCTGATTTTTAACTTAAGATAATTAGAGCTGTCCAGATCTCCACTGAGGTTAGTTCTAACACGCTGCTTCTCATTGTTCAGAGCATCTCTTCTAAAGCAACTGTGTACAATTTCCCACCTTTGTGAGCTTACTATATTTCTTAGTACCATCTTGCTTTTAAATTGCGTTTTTGCTGTAGAGGAGAATTAATTTATTGGAGAGAATTTTTTGTGACAGGCATTCTCTACCTTTTAAAAAAAAATAGATCACAGAAGTTCCCTTATTTTTCTAGAGCTAATGATAGTACTCACACTGGCAGTGTTCTTTATGTACGTTTTGTAAGCTTTATCAGTGAAACAGTCTTTTCGGCAGAAGGTTTCTTTCCTAGTCAGGATAAAGCTTAAAACTCCAGAAATGAATATTTTTCAGACTGACCTAGTTCATATTTCCATCAGCCCTCTCTATCTTCTGCCAGGGAGTAGAAAGAGACAGTGTTGAAACAGATGGCAACAGGGCTGTGCCGACAGAGGGCGGAAGTGTGACTGCTACCATACTGAGGTAACAACCCAGACATCACTGATCCTTCTTTTAGAGAGAGAAAAATACATGTATAAAATAGTTTCAGTAGTTCAGAATATCAGCAACCCATAGCTGCTTTCGTGTATGTGTGTGTGTGTGTGAACCAACAGTGATGCCTTGCTCAGTCAATGCATTCAGCCATCTCAAGTGCAATTTGTGATGGAGACTCGGGTTTCCAAAAAAGTTTTACATAGTTAAACTTGTAAAAATTATTTTTTTTCCAACACTACACCCATTGCTATTGATTATTTCAGCAATTGGTGTACTATTAAATTGCCTAGGCCAAATAATTAAGTTTCGGTAGATGTTTTAGTTATTTGAAGCCAAATTCTCATACCGTTTCTCATGAAATAATGAGTGAGAATTTGGTCCACAGTTTGCTTTAAGTTATTTTATTCCTTTGGTTCCCTTACAGTTAAGGGGCTTTTTTGTTTGTTTGGGGTGGGGGTTTTTTTTTGCCTCAAGTCTCTGACATTTTCTTTTGCCTGCACCCAGTTGCTTCTTTGAGTGTGCTCATCTATTTTGATATATGAGTAGTAGATGGTGTGCTGTATCATCAAAGTGATCAAGATTTTGTTCATTTAAACAATATAATTAAGTATAATTCGTACATATGTATCTTAATTCATTGCTTTTATCACATAACTATTTTATAAGTAACTGGAATTTTTCATTAGATCTTATACAGAGCAGTATTTTATTAAAGATTCAAAAGGGAAGACTTTTGTGTGCTCATTTTGTAGTTTTTGTTTTTTAAATATCTTTACATTGTCTGCAATTAAAGTGTTTTAAACTTGCATTGGAATGGACTCTGAATGTATTTTTGTGTTAAGTTGTACATTTGTAGATTTCTAGCATGAAGTTAGCCTCAAAATATTGTGCAAAAGAATTTTAAAATTTAAGAGTCAGTGAAAGAGTTTAAACCTCTCTACATGTTAAATGCTATCTGGATTTTAATTAAACACTTGAGAATGATTTCACAAGCTGTTCTTGTATGTTTGCGTTAATATCAAAAGTAGAAACATTACAGTATTCACTTAAACCCGATACCCTTTTATATCTGTGTTCAGAATCTATGTCGGGGCCAGCCTGGTGGCGCAAGCGGTTAAGTGTGCGCGCTCCGCTGCGGCGGCCCAGGGTTCGCCGGTTCAGATCCCGGGCATGCACTGATGCACCACTTGGCAGGCCATGCTGTGGCGGCGTCCCATATAAAGTGGAGGAGGATGGGCATGGATGTTAGCCCAGGGCCAATCTTCCTCAGCAAAAAAGAGGAGGCTTGGCAGATGTTAGCTCAGGGCCGATCTTCCTCACACACACAAAAAAAGAATCTATGTCATTTAGAGTAAATTGAGACAGCATGATTGGTAGAAAAAGTCTGAATTGTAGATTCAGATGGCCACTGTTTAGAACTAGCTCTGCTTCTTACTAGTTGTAAATAAGTCATTATCATATTAGCATTGGCAAGTTATGTAAGGTCTCAGCCTCAGTTTCATCTCCTAAAGAAAGAAAACAACACCCTTTCTGGTGTTAATATGTATAAAACACATTAAAATTCTTTTGGATGGATAGATGGATGGATATGTAATAAAGCAAGTATAGTGAAATGTTAATAGTAGAATCCAGGTGGTGGGTGTGTGGATGTTCACTGTATAATATTTTAAACTTTGTTATCAGAAAATTTTCATAATGGAATGTTGGAAAAAAGAAACAAGGTGTCTGGTGCTGTCAGTGTTGATCAGCTAGGATCTTCAGCACTGGCTCTTGTTCTGCCAGGCTTTTTAGAGAAGCAGGTAGGCCTAGGGAGGCGAAGAGCAGTGAGCGGCAGAGCACGCCAAGTTCCAGAGAGACTTGTCGAGGGAAGAAGGCAAGCTTCAGAATGATGCATAAAGCGTGATGCCATTTATGTAAAACAAAAACAGTTTTAAGTAGTTATACGTGCAGATAGTGTGTGCAGCATCAAAGAAGGCCGAAAGGGTACAACCACATGCTCACAGCAGTTGTCTCTGGAAGATGGTCAAAGAGATTTTACTCTTACCTGTCATGCTTTAAACATTTGTAGGAAATGTAGCACGTATTACTTGTATAATTAAAAATTAGTTTAAAAAGTGTTTAAATTAAAATTAGTTTAAAAAGTAAATG